ATCCTTGGTCTCGTAGGATTTGTTTCTCAGGCTCTGGGACAGGAGGAGGAGGGAAGATTACAGTCCAAAAAGTCCTAGATCACTGAATAAAAGGGGAATCCCAAAACAAATCAGAAGGCGGTGGATTTCATAACTCGCAGGCTTACCGACGCTAATCTCTTTCGCGGCCTACCACTGTTATGTTTAGCTAAACCGCATTCTTTCCAGCCGAGCGAATCAAACTGCTGAAAAAAAAAACAGTCAATGAGCAAAACGTCCGGCTACTACTTTTAATATTCTGCACAATACAGGCCAACAAGCCCGGGCAGGATAGTTTTAGTCATAACAGTCAGCTATGACTGCATGTCTCACTATGGCCTCACAGACACAGACTTGCTCTCACATGCACATTTTTCAGGGATGATCCAGGCCTCTGTCATCATAATCAGGGAGCCTAAACCATTTTGTGACATCATCATCACAAGACTTTTCCTCCAGGGCGAACACCATTGCTATTGTTTGATGACCTTTCACCTGCTAAGATCTGTCGTTTCATGTTTTGTGCCTTACATTTTGATTCTGTCTTTCGTTTTCAAGACTATGGAGTACGCTTGTGTTCTGAAAAGCTGTCAGAGGTGTCCGCCTTTTAAAGTTCCTTTTTGTGTGTGAATATACTGTATTAGTTTTAATGTATAAAAAACCGCAGCTGGCTGAAGCATTTACATTGTAGCCTTCTATAGTACAGTGGTTCTCAAAGTGGGGGTCGGGACCCCCTGGGGAGTCGCGACACAATGACAAGGGGTCGCTTGGTGATTTCCAAAACTCAAATAAGTTTTATTAAACTATTTGAATGACCATAGGTCCCACTTTATATTAAGTGTCTTCAACTACTATGTACTGACATCACAAAATAAATACAATGTACTTACTGTGTTTATAATGTATTTGAGAACACTTGTGGTGCTTTTGAGTTGGGATAGAGGTTGGGTTATGGACAGGTTTGCTGGTATGGGTAGGTTTAAGGGTAGGTTAAGAAGTAAGGGATGGTCAACAGTGTATTTACAAATGTAATTACAAAAGTTAATTACAGATGTAATTACATACATGTATTTAATCAAGCATAAGTACACAGTAAATACACGTTTTTACACAATAAGTGCATTGTAACAAACTATTAGTACCAGTGTAAGTACATATTAGTTAAGGCAACTTAATATAAAGTGGGACCAAACAAAATTATTATTATATTATTATTATCTATTATAAACAAAAAAAAATCAGTCATCAGCCTTTACTTTTTATATTATAAATTAATAAATGAATATAAAAAATATATATGGTAAATAGACTGTTGCATTTATGTGTTGTCAATGTGCTTATGTTTATACATGCCTATAGTTGTGTCTACAAGGTATATATATTTACAGTATAACTACCTTGAAAAATGGGGGTCGTGAGTCACTGACATTGTTAATTTGGGGGTCGCGGGCTGAAAAGTTTGGGAACCTCTGCTATAGTAAATAGTTTCCAGATGTGCATGTACAGAATGCTGGATTCTGAAGGTTTTAAAGAGCTGTAAAGCCAAGCACAGCAAAGGTGTGTGTGTGTATATATGTATTTTTTATATAAAACAATTATTATAAAATTATAAATATTATGAAAAATATTTATAAATAATTATAAATATTAAGTCAACTTAATAATTCCAAGTTACAATAGATTTACTTACATTATTTTTGTAAAGCCAACTTGTTGCTTTTAAGGCAATTGGTTTGCTAACTTAAAGCACAGTAACTACTCACTTTTTACAGTGTCTTTTCCAGAGATCACAGTATAACATTTAAAGCATAGACACTCAATAAATGAATTTTGCTGCTTGTTTAAACTGCTTATTTTAAATGAGCTAAATCAACACAATTATTGAGTTTTTAAAACATCTTTTTTATGTCACTTTATTTATGTTTCTTTCATTTGATCCACTTTATTTGTAAACGCTATAAAGTAAACCTATAGTGCTCCAGGGGAAATGAATGTGTCGGTGCTCTTTGGGTGAGGGATACATAAAGATAAAGAGCAAAATTTTAAGTCCAAGGCTTTTTAATTTTATTTAGAAAGCTTTTATTAACATGGCTATTCCATTAAAACTGCACCTACGTGGTTCAGCAAACCCTTGCCTTCATCAGGAAAACAATTAAGGTTAACGTAATCGATTTGAATTAAGACAACATGAAGAAATTGTGTTGAACCAAGCAATATTTACAGAGTAGAAACTTTTATGTTTTTTTAAGCACATTACAATAATTAAATGTATTATAAATATGTACAAGTACGACATAAAAAGTAAAAGAAATTTTAAAAAAGAAGAAAGTATTGAAATTCAAATAACCATACATGACATCACACAACTGCCTTATTTAGATTTCTCAATATGTTGCTTGTGATTACTTATTCAACGTCCTGAATGTTCACCGTATTAATCAGCGATTTCAAATTATGAATCCTTCGTCTTGCAAATGGAAATACACAAAGCCGACCTCTTACTTAACTGCGATTCACTAGTCACCATCTCAAATAATGACTTCCTGTGATGCACAAACACACACAGGAGCAGAGTGTGAATTCCGTTTTCGTCACAGCGTTTTTCATCTCTAATCTGCTTGTCAGTGAGTAATGGAATGTAAAGAATGCTGGAGGGAGACTAAAGAGAGAGAGTGACTAAAGGTGTGACTGAAAATGAGAGTGAGTGGAAAACACTTTATCGCATTTATTTTCCAGGGTATCTATGAGTGTGCGGTTAATGTTAGGACATCACACTTACTTCAATACGTGTTATGTGCACAAACACACACAGTCCACTACACACAAGGGCATTCATAATTAATACAGTGGTGAAAGATGTTTCTATACACTGTAAATCCTAATGTTGTCTTTTTTTTAAACAATTAAGTAAAGTTGACTGAACATGACTTAAAAGTTTTGTTCCTGTCACTTAAAATATGAGTGAATTTAACTTATGTACCATGAAAATGCATAAACTTAAGATTTCAAGTGTAGTGAGCTCAAAATCATCCTTTGAAAAAAAATAGGTCATTTTCACAAATGTTGTCTTGACTGTAAAATTCTAATATGTGCAACCTTTTAAATGCAAGGTCTTTTCTAAAATCAGAAAACAAATGGCTTCAGGTAGAATTATTCATCATAATGTGAATAAATGGCTACTAAATTTTTGTTTAAAATTTATATAAACAAGGCGAGGCAGTGGTGCAGTAGGTAGTGCTGTCGCCTCACAGCAAGAACGTTGCTGGGTCACTGGTTTGAACTGGCTTAGTTGGCGTTTCTGTGTGGAGTTTGCATATTCTCGCTGCCTTCGCATGGGTTTCCTCTGGGTGCTCTGGTTTCCCCCACAGTCCAAAGCATGCGGTACAGGTGAATTGGGTAGGCTACATTGTCCGTAGTGTATAAGGGTGTGTGTGAATGTGTGAGTGTGGATGTTTCCCAGAGATGGGTTGCGGCTGGAAGGGCATCCTCTGCGTAAAAACTTGCTGGATAAGTTGGCGGTTCATTCCGCTGTGGCGACCCTGGATTAAAAAAGGGACTGAGCCGACAAGAAAATGAATGAATGAATGAATGTATTTATTTAAACATTTTTTCATAGTATATTATTACACACATGCATATATATACATTGTGTTTACATATATACTTTGTGTGTGCGTGTGTGTGTGTGTGTATACAGTTGAAGTCAGAATTATTAGCCCCCTGAATTATTAGCACACCTGTTTATTGTTTTCCCCAATTTCTGTTTAACGTAGAAACGATTTTTCCAACACATTTCTAAACATAATAGTTTTATTAACTTATTTCTAATAACTGTTTTATTTTATCTTTGCCATGATGACAGTAAATTATATTTTACTAGACATTTTTCAAGACACTTCTATACAGCTTAATTAACCTAGTTAAGTCTTTAAATGTCACTTTAAGTTAGGCAGGTTAGGGTAATTAGTCAAGTTATTGTATAACAGTTTTTGGTATTGTAGACTATCGGGAAAAAAATATAGCTTAAAGGGGCTAATAATAATGTCCTTAAAATGGCTTTTTAAAAATTAATAACTGCTTTTATTCTAGCTGGAATAAAACAAATAAGACTTTTTCCAAAAGAAAAAATATTATCAGACATACTGTGAAAACTTCCTTGCTCTGTTAAATATCAATTGGGAAATATATATATAAAAAAAGTAAAGAAAATTCAATGGGGGGCTTAAAATTCTGACCTCAACTGTATATATATATATATATATATATATATATATATATATATATATATATATATATATATATATATATATATATATATATATATATATATATATGATTATTGTTATTTTTTTTTACAATATGAAGTGTTTTAATACTATTTACTAGTATAAACGCTGTTCAAATGAAACTACAGGGCACTAGAGGTGGTCAGACACCTGAAATGGTCAGACAGCTGAAATCTATATTAAGTGAGTGGGTGAATGAAGAAGAGATTCAGTTGTGGTAGAGGGAACGCATAGTTGCTTGGAGCTACTTCAAACTGTTTGTATAGGGTATATGCTGAGCTAGTGTTTTTCCCATACTGATAAACTTCCGGTGACGTGTTATTGTGAACTTTTTTTTCCATTTTATACGGTTCCTTTTACAGCATCGATGTTGTAATGTAATTAAAATACATTCAGTTAAATAAACTTTGTCATTCATTTAGTTGCTCAAGCGTAAAACGAGACAAAAAGCCGTTTACTCGTACGCGCCAATCAGAATTGGCAGGCTGGCGCAGAAGCTCCATTGAATATACTGGGGTAAAATAAATGCTCATATTACAAAGACATGGCGGGGGGAAATGTAATTTAATGCAGTGTTTCTTGTACAATCTGAGACCCACTTTATATCGGATATCACTCAGCTAGTGGAGATCGCTGATTTTTGAAGAAAACAGACCTTAAACGCGCCGGTTTTTGCATTGGCATACAGTTCGCCGGAAGCGCTTACCCAGGTTACTGGCAAATTAAAAGTCCCATTAGCATGCTTGGGCATATACCCTATTGTGAAATCCTAGTTGGGAAGCCTTGCGTTTTGAAGCTCAGCCTAAGGACTTTCTTATTGTCCAGATAACTGAATGTTTGGAAAATGTATTGGTATGCTGTCTGCATAAGATTTGACGTTTTGAATACCATAATTACACTGAAAACCCTAATAAGTTGACTGAACTAAATAAATTCACTATTCAGTTCACCAAACTTAGTAATCAGTTACAAACTTAGTAATAAGTTGGGGGGGGGGGGGGCTCAAAAACATTGTCATTCTTTAAAAGAACGACCTTTATTTCACACATAAATATCCTTCAACTTTATACAATAAACATGTTTGTCACTTTTGATAACTATATTTTTAAGCTGAACAAAAGTATTCAATTATTTACAAAATGACAAATGTTTGAACAGTAGTGTATACATCTCAAAATAAAACACAAGAACCTATAAACTGTATGATGTTACCAGTTTTGTCTTTTTGATTGAATAATTTACACATTTGCCAATTTAATTTTTGCGAAATACTGAGAAAATGATTGGAGTCAGAAACCTGCATCTACAATGTGGGCACTACAGCACTTTGTGTCTTGTTAACTCTTATGGCTGCATAGTTAGGAGCTGGACTGTTGTTTGCTCAAGTGTCTGTTTTCGTAGTCATCTTCAGATCTGTTGGCTCTTGGCTGCAGTAAAGACAGAGAAAGTATTCTATAAATGCAACACATATTCATCACATTTACTCAGTACCGCTTATGGGTATTTTGTGTAAAAAATAGATGTTTACAGTAATCAGTATATATGAGTACACCCCTCATAAACCTCTCATTTAAATTAATATTTTCTATAGGACGCTTTACGGTATATACATTAGATTAGTAAGTAGCCTATTGAAGAAAACTTTTTTAATTTTTAAAAATTTTTTTTTTAAATGTTTTGGATTGATAAAAAAATATTAAATATAAATTTAAAAAAGAGCAAAAATAAAGAAACAATATATATGATTGTTTATATTGTATATTGTATGTATATATATATATATATATATATATATATATATATATATATATATATATATATATATATATATATATATATATATATATATATATATATTGTATATATAGTGTGAGTGTGTGTGTATGTGTGTGTGTATGTATATATATATATATATATATATATATATATATATATATATATATATATATATATATACATTTGAAGTCAGAAATATTATTATTATTATTATTTTATTATATATTATTATATATTATATTATTATATATAGTGTATATTATATATAGTGTGAGTGTGTGTGTATGTGTGTGTGTATGTATGTATATATATATATATATATATACATTTGAAGTCAGAATTATTATTATTATTATTATTATTATTTTCTTTTTTAAATATTTCCCAAATGATGTTTGACAGAGCAAGGAAATTTTCACAGTATGTCTGATAATATTTTTTCTTCTAGAAAAAGTCTTATTTGTAGTTCACCTTATTAACCTAGTTAAGCCTTTAAAAGTCACTTTAAGCTGTATAGAAGAGTCTTGAAAAATATCAAGTAAAATATTATTTACTGTCATCATGACAAAGATAAAATAAATTAATTAGAAATGAGTTTTTAAAACTATTATGCTTTGAAATGTGCTGAAACAATCTTCCCACAATTTAACAGAAATTGGGGAAAAAAATAAACAGGGGCGCTAATAATTCAGGGGGGCTAATAATTCTGACTTCAACTGTATATATATATATATATATATATATATATATATATATATATATATATATATATATATATATATATATATATACATACATACAGGCTGTGTTTAGTGTTTTGATGCATGTAAACTTTTTATGTTTGACCTTTATGCAATGCAAATGTGTATAATTATACACAAAAACATATTTGAGGAGCAGGCAAATTTCAAATAAAACAACTGTGATACAACAAAAAATGTAACTGTCATTTTTTGCACATACTGAATTTCAGCAGAACATCTAATGATCAGTATATCAGTGTTGATTATGCTTAACCAACTCCTGCTTTCAGAGAAATACTACTCTTTATTTCCTGCCTCAGGAACTTGATAACCATTTGACTAGTTGATTTAACGGTAGATTGAATTATGTCATAAAAAAGCACCATCATATCTAAACACAACTTACATGGAATAAAACCACTGTTTTCCAGAGAAACAACAAGTACGACTGTGGTGCAGCAGCATACTTGCATGCCAAGATGCATAATTAAGTTGTAATAGAATGTTTTTTTTTATGTGTGGTTTAAAAAAAATAACAACAATTTATTACTACTGATTCAGTTTCATGTTCATAATGTCTCATAATAATAATAATAATAATAATAATAATAATAATAATAATGAAATGATTGAAAATCTGACCTGTATGACATTGTATACTGAGTCGCTGGTTTTGTGCAGGCTGGCGTATGTCATGAGTCCTCTTGTATTTTCAGAAGCCTAACAGCAGAAAATACATGCAATTAAATTGGAATGTGGATTACTAAAAAATTATAAATATCTGGCATCCAGAGGATTTCTACTATGTCCTTTGGATAATAAATCTTCCTAGTTTTTGTTCAGTGAGTTTGCCTAAAAGCAGTGTTTGGAATGTTTTACTTACTTGGAGTCTTTTAAGTAGGCTGAAAAGAGAAGAGAACATAATATAATATAATATAATATAATATAATATAATATAATATAATATAATATAATATAATATAATATAATATAATATAATATAATATAATATAATATTGGATCAGTTGGCATTTCTGTGTGGAGTTTGCATGTTCTCCTCGTGTTGGCGTGGGTTTACTCTAGGTGCCCCGGTTTCCCCCACAAGTCTAAAGACACTTGGTGTAGGTGAATTGGGCAGGCTAAATTTTCCATAGTGTATGTGTGTGAATGGTTGTGTATGGGTTGCTGCTAGAAGGGCATCTGCTGCGTAAAACATATGCTGGGTAAATTGGCAGTTCATTCCACTGTGGCAACCCCAGATTAATAAAGGGACTTAGCCGAAAAGAAAATGAATAATATAATATAATATAATATAATATAATATAATATAATATAATATAATATAATATAATATAATATAATATAACATAATATAATATAATAAACATAATATAATATAATATAATATAATATAATATAATATAATATAATATAATATAATATAATATAATATAATATGATATAATTTATCTAAAATAATTTAAATTTAATATTCTAAAAATGACAACATTATTATTTTCTAAAAATGTTTTTAGTTGTTTTGGATTCAACATTTTATGACACTAATAAATAAAATAAATAGTTAAATAAAATAATTAAATGAAAAGAGATCTGTAAATCTGTATTTTAGTTATTTGTTTCTTGTCTTTTTTATTCTTATCATTTGAATGTTTAATGCTACGGTGGCATGATATATACACAGCATTTCTTTTTATATACACAGCATAATATCTTTAATGCATAAAGTGTTGTATAATTCAGTGTAGGAGAGCAAAATGACACTGTCAAAAACAAAGTTGACTCAACTTAAAATTGTAAGGCAACTTCTTGCACAGCTTTTTTGAGTTTACTTAACTTATAACCAAAGTACTGCCCTTGACTCAATTTGAGTCAGCTCCAAAAGCTCTGCAGCAAGTTGCCTTACAATTTTAAGTTGAGCTAACTTTTTTACAGTGTATGATAATCATTTTTGTCCATTGTAAATTAATGATCATTTTAATGCAATTGATACGAATATACTGATGATACGATTACATTACAGTTGAACATTAATGGAATTACTATTTGTTGTTATTCACAATAAAACTATTAAAGTTATTTACTATCTACATCATGATAGTATTGAACAATAATGGTAAAATGTAGAACAGTTAGGTTAACAGCACCTTCATAAAAGTAAAATTGAATTATTTTGCTCCAAAAAAAGTGACGTAAGCAGACCTGATGTTGTAAATGCGTGCAAATGCAAAATGTTCATATATTGACAAAGTTTTCAATAATTCAATAGTAATTGGGTAAACCGGCAGTGGGTGGTGTTACACATACTAAACACTTAAGCATTGTTTTTTACATAAACTAATATGTTAACTTAGCATGTTTCTTAAACAACTGCAAACATATCATAGTATTTTTTGCTTCATATTAGTCAAAAATCACATACAGCACTTTTAAGTAGCCTGAAAATACATACTACTACATTTTAAAGATTAAACGCTAACTTGGCTTGCCATAATGGATGTCAATCATTCATTCATTTTCCTTCAGCTTAATCCGTTAATTATCAGGGGCCACCACAGAGGAATGAAACGCCAACTATTCCAGCAAATGAGCCACAACCCAGCACTGGGAAACACCCATACATTCACACACTTACTCATACACTATTGCCAATTCTCCTTACCCAATTCACTTATAGCACCTGTCTTTCTGTGGGGAAACCAGAGCACCCAGGGGAAACCCACGCTATCACCGGGACTTGAACCAGTGACCTTCTTGCTGTGAGGCAACAGTGCTAACCACTGAGCCACTGTGCCACCCCTAATAATAGATACCAATTACAAATCAACTGATTTAGAAACTTCTTCCCTGGTGTACCTCAGGGATCTATCTTGGGTCCCCTACTCTTTGCTCTCTACATAAATGATCTTCGTTTTGCACGTCTTTGCATTAATATACAGATGATACTGTAAATTATTTGCACGGTAATAATTCCACATGTTACAAATAAAACTTACCTTTTGTATTTGACCAAATCCACTGCGGTAATGAGAATTAGGGAAAGCATCAGGAATCCGCATATAATGTATGGTGCAATAGAGCAGTGGCAACCTGAATCAGACAGATTAATATGCTGGTTTTACAGTACGTCACCGTAATGTCATATAAAACAGTTTATTTACTTGCATACCCCCACACGAACACCCAAGGAGATCCATAACTCAGGTTCACATAAAAACACATTCGTTTCCACATTGCAGTTACGCACAGTCTGAGAATGAATATTCTGAGGGTAAGCGAGTTTACACATCTACTAATTTCCCTCTGATACCCTTACGAATGTATTCTGATGTGGTTTTGGTGTCGCTTTTGGATTTAATTGCTTGTTTACACCAGGAGCTGACCGTGTGTCCAGTTATTGCCCACTGTTCAGCCACATCAACACTACCGCTAGTTTTTTTCAAAGAGTTTGTCTGCCATGAATCACCTAATCATTAGTGAGGCTCAGATGAAATCACTGCACTAAAGCGATTATGGGTCAGTGACACATAAAGATGTCCAGGATGATGAAAAGAAAGCAGACGTCAAGCTCCTAGACGTGCACACAAGCAAACAAAAACATTTAACATCAAGGGGTGATATGATATGATGAATGCATATTATGATCCTTATTTTTATTTTACTGTGATACTGTCTTTATTGCAGTTTGGCATGCTCATTATTATTTTGTTGCCCAAAGTAGCTTTTGCTGCATAAAAAAGCAGCTATTTACATTAAAACAATACTTTTTTGTTGTTGAATGCCTAATTCTGACTGCCTTATAAACATTACAATTATATTGAGGGACATTTAATATAGTTCTAGGCTTATTCTGAAAATGTACCGCTATATACATTTCTGGAGAGCGCAAAATAAGTTCCAGAAGCTACTTTTTTGCTGTTTTTGTTTTTGCAAATCCACCAGAGGCCGCTGTCTACGCTTTTTCAGTTCTCAAATTTGTCTCATTAGTGGCATTTGTGCCTGCTGTTTTCACGTAATTCCACCAGAGGCCACTGTTGACTGACTGATTGACTGATCTATCCCCCTCTCCCTCGCCTACTGATAGTGTTTTTAAAAGCACCGATTGACCCATCCACCCTTTTCCCTAAACCCAACTGACAGTTTTAAAAAGCAAGTCAGAAAAAGAAAAGCCCTCGCCTGATTTTTACCATGTTTTCAGATTTTACCACATTTTCATCCTGTTATTTACTTTTTTTTATTTACCTGTTCATTTTATGTTTTAGATTCTGTTTTTGTTTTACACGCTTTCTGGAACCGTTCTTCACCGAACTCGAATCTCGTTGTCAACTCCTCTCTACGTCTCAAGTCCACCGATGTATATGGCAAGCTAACTGGACAAACAATGGAAAAACCTTTTATACGGAGGTAAGCAGTCAGCTGGTAAGCGAGAAAAGGAACGGCGTCATGCCGCCTTCATTTTAAAGACAAAATGTATCCATACGTACTTCTGGCTACATAATTTGCGATCTCCAGAAATGTATATAGGGGGACATTTTCAGAATGAGCCTGTGTTGGTCATTTCATAACCTACAACCTCAAAACTCAAAACAAAACAAAAAAAAGTATTTTGAATTACATACATATTGTAGCGAGCCATGTAATACCACGTCGCCCTGGGCACAAATCCACACCAGCTGGATCTCTCATCAACCTCGGATCGCTCACAGCTGGACCTCATCAGCCAGGGAGAGATAAAAGCCAGCCCCACACAGGAGGAAGTGAGCTTCATTACAGATGACTCCCTGCGCTAACGCTTGTCTCTCTCTGTCTCTCCCACAGCCGAATCCAGCTCGTGACCGATCCAACACCATCCCTCTCACCAGTCTTCACCTTCTCCCCGGAGCACCTGAGCACGCACCTCTAAGAAGAGCACTCATTCACCCCTTTATCACTTGTAAATAAAAGCACCCTCCGGGGCATTGTTTGTAACTTCATCTACGGTGTTTGTGTTTTCCCTCTGCCTCGCTACAACTGGTGGAGAATGCGGGCATTGCAGAGGGAAAAATTCAGAAGAAACACTCACCATTAAGTAGAAAATAACCGCTGAATTTTTCTCTGTGTTTGTTACAGACAGGCATCCGCTCTCTCTCTCTCCCACGCTTCCTCTTACTCGGCTGTCAACATCCCGTCGCCATGTCGGTGGAAGAGGTACTGCTCCACCTAGCGGAGATCTCCAGGAAACAGAATTCCATCTCTGAGCAGCTTACAGCCAGACAGGATCGACTGGAACAGCAGCTCCGCCAGGCGGCCAGACACCATCAGACTCCCGAAGTGAGTGCGCATCATCATCTCACTAAACTCAGCGACCTGGATGATATTGACGCTTATTTACATACCTTTGAGGTTATTGCCGAGAGAGAAGGCTGGCCAAAAGAAAACTGGGTGAGAATGTTGGCTCCGTTTCTCACAGGAGAAGCGCAACGAGCATACTTTTCACTAGAGACACCTAAAAATGAAGATTACAAAGCGTTAAAAAAGGAAATATTAGCCAGAATGGGGCTATCCACAATCAGCGCAGCCCAACAGTTTTCCCAGTGGTCTTACGACGAGAAACAACCAGTGAGAACTCAAGCAGCTCAACTTTCTCGCCTGGGAAGGCTATGGTTATTGGGAGGAGATCCTTCGGCGGTCCAGGTCGCTGAGAAGGTGATCATCGAGAAGATGATGCGTGCGTTACCCCGACGTTTGCGAACACTCACCAGCATGCGAAATCCTGAGTCACTGGCCACCCTGGTGGAGGCGATCGAGCTGGCTGAAGCTCACATCGCCCGAGATAATGGGGAGAGAGCGGCTCTGCCACCCCGGAGGGTAAGTGCACCTTGGCGACCGGTGGAGGGCACAGCGCGACCAGGCGGCAGACCAGCGGTCCCCAGCCCGATGGACGAGCCGATGCCCACCGAGCCGACGACGCACTCGACCCCGGCCTGGACAGCAGGGTGCGCGGTACACCGCAATATCCCTCCCGAAGCTCCCACCCATAAAGTCCAGCTAGAGGGTAAAACACAAACGGCCACCTTAGACACAGGAAGCGCCATCACTCTGGTTCACCCGAAGACTTTGAAATACCGCCAGGAAAGTAAAAGTCTTATTCCAATCACGTGTGTACACGGTGATACCCGCCACGTACCCGCCCGAAGGGTGACCATCGCGGCGAAACCAGGCAGCTGGCGCATCGAAGTCGGGGTTGTTCCAGATCTTCCTGTGCCCCTCCTACTGGGCAGAGACTGGCCGGGGTTCGATGAACTCCTCACTCACCACCACGCTCTATCGGCTCGTTCAAAGAAGAAGAACAAGTCACGGGCTCATCGGGACCGCAAACCAGCGCTGATGACCACCGAGAGCGATAGAGGGGGTGAGTCATCAATTTCTGCTAATTTATACTTTGATCTGTTTCAACAGATAACCGCAGGAGGCGATTTTGGCAGAGCACAGAGGGAAGATGAAACGCTCAAACACTGCTGGCCGCAAGTACGGATCATTGAAGGTAATGAGCGACTTCCCAGCCCTCACCCCCTCCCACATTTTATTGTGGAAAATGGTCTGCTGTACTGTGTCGCAGAGAGGCGGGGGGAAAAGAAGACACTATTGGTCGTCCCGAGGACCAAGAGGGAGACGGTCTTAGAACTGGCACATACCCACCCGATGGCTGGACATCTGGGAGCGGCCAACACGGTGAAAAGGATCCGCGACCGTTTCCATTGGCCGGGGCTAGACGGGGAAGTAAAGAGGTATTGCCAGGCATGTGACATCTGCCAGAGAACGTCTCCCCAACGACCACCCCCCAGCCCTCTAATACCACTACCCATCATCGATGTGCCCTTCACCCGAATTGGTATGGACTTGGTAGGGCCTTTGCCGAAGTCGGCCCGGGGACATGAGCACATCCTTGTTATCCTCGATTATGCCACCAGATACCCTGAAGCGATTCCCCTGAGGAAAGCCACGTCATCGGCCATCGCGAAGGAGCTGTTTCTACTATGCAGTCGAGTGGGAATCCCAACAGAGATACTGACCGACCAGGGCACCCCCTTCATGTCCCGGTTGATGGCAGACCTCTGTCACCTACTCAAGGTAAAACAGCTAAAAACCTCTGTATATCATCCACAGACGGACGGCCTTGTCGAGCGCTTTAACAAGACTCTGAAGCAGATGCTCCGACGGGTGGTGGCAGAGGACGGGCGCGACTGGGACCTCATGATCCCGTACGTGTTATTCGGTATCAGGGAAGTCCCCCAGGCCTCCACAGGATTTACCCCCTTCGAACTGCTGTTTGGCCGCCAACCCAGGGGCCTATTGGATGTGGCTCGTCAAGCCTGGGAGCAGGAGCCAGCCCCCCAGCGGTCGGTGATTGAACACGTACGGGACATGAGAGAACGCATCGACAAAATCATGCCCATCGTCAAGCAACACCTGACCGAAGCCCAGCGCGCCCAGCAGAGATTGTATAACCGGCCCGCCCAACCCAGGGAGTTCCACCCAGGGGACAAGGTGATGATACTCATACCTACCACAACGTCGAAGTTCCTCGCATCCTGGAAGGGACCATACACCGTGGTAGAGAGGGTAGGGCCGGTAAATTATCGAGTCCGTCAGCCGGGACGAAGACGGGAAGAACAACTCTACCACATAAATCTTATGAAGAAGTGGGTTGCAGCTCCAGGTCATCTCGTTGCCTTCGCTGAAGAAACTCTTCCCGTTGTCCACATTGGTGAGCAACTCTCACCAAACCAGAAGGCGGAGCTGCAAGCCTTGGTTGGTCAGTTCAAGGATGTGTTCTCGGAGAAACCGGGCCGAACCTCCATCATCCAACACAACATTATCACTCCTCCTGGCACCATCGTCCGGCAAAGGCCTTATCGAGTTCCAGAGGCTCGCAGGCTGGCTATCGACGAGGAGATCCAGAAGATGAGAAGGTTAGGCATCATCGAACCATCCCGTAGCCCGTGGTCCAGCCCAATAGTGATGGTCCCCAAACCCGATGGCACCCTCCGTTTCTGCAACGACTTCAGGAAACTCAATGAGATCTCCAAGTTCGACGGATACCCCATGCCTCGGGTGGACGAGCTGCTGGATAGGCTGGGTGGAGCCCGATTTATCTCCACCATCGACCTCACCAAAGGCTACTGGCAGTTACCACTCAGTGAAGACGCCAAGGAGAAAACCGCCTTCTCCACACCCGGTGGGCACTGGCAATACCGGGTTCTTCCCTTCGGGCTCCACGGGGCCCCAGCCACATTCCAAAGAATGATGGACATCCTGCTGAGGCCCCACCAGCCATATGCAGCAGCCTACCTGGACGACCTCATCGTCCACTCAGAGTCATGGGAGGAACACCTATCCCGGTTACGGAGGGTGCTCTTAGATCTTCGACGGGCTGGGCTCACAGCTAATCCCAAGAAATGCCACCTGGGTCTAGCCGAAGCCAGATACCTCGGGTTCCACATTGGACGAGGTCTCATACAGCCACAGCAAAACAAGGTCAAGGCACTACAGGAAACTCCACAACCCACCACAAAGACCCAGGTACGTGCATTTCTGGGGTTAGCGGGCTACTATAGATGTTTCATACCTAACTTCTCATCCATAGCCAGCCCTTTGACAGACCTGACCAGAAAGGGGCAGCCGGAGAGGATAAGATGGACCAAGGAAGCCGACGATGCGTTCCGAGCCCTAAAGAAGTCCCTCACGTCCTCACCGGTACTGCACGCACCTGACTTCGGCTGCCCCTTCATTCTACAGACGGATGCTTCCGACTCGGGCCTGGGCGCGGTCCTCTCCCAGGTCCACGGCGATGAAGAACATCCCATAATGTACGTGAGTCGGAAGCTGACCCCCGCAGAGACCCGCTACGCAACGGTGGAGAAGGAGGCCCTGGCGATCAAGTGGGCAATCCTGGAGCTAAGGTACTATCTCCTTGGCAGGAAATTCACTCTGGTGACCGACCACGCCCCGCTACAATGGATGGCGACAGCAAAGAACAACAACGCTCGGGTCACCAGGTGGTTCCTGTCGCTCCAGGATTTCAACTTCGACGTACAACATCGAGCCGGGGCCTCCCACGGAAACGCAGACGGACTCTCACGGCTCTGGTCAGGATGGGCAGGTCTGTCGAAACATTCTACCCCCCCTCTCAATACACTGCTCTTCCTTCGCAGGACACCCAGGACCAGGACGACGCTAAGGGGGGGGGAATGTAGCGAGCCATGTAATACCACGTCGCCCTGGGCACAAATCCACACCAGCTGGATCTCTCATCAACCTCGGATCGCTCACAGCTGGACCTCATCAGCCAGGGAGAGATAAAAGCCAGCCCCACACAGGAGGAAGTGAGCTTCATTACAGATGACTCCCTGCGCTAACGCTTGTCTCTCTCTGTCTCTCCCACAGCCGAATCCAGCTCGTGACCGATCCAACACCATCCCTCTCACCAGTCTTCACCTTCTCCCCGGAGCACCTGAGCACGCACCTCTAAGAAGAGCACTCATTCACCCCTTTATCACTTGTAAATAAAAGCACCCTCCGGGGCATTGTTTGTAACTTCATCTACGGTGTTTGTGTTTTCCCTCTGCCTCGCTACAATATGTAATACTTTATAGTAACTTCACACTATGAATAATTTATTAAGCATTAGCAAATAGTCAATGCAATATTTGTTAAGTATTAACTCTACATTAATAAATGTTAGGAAGCAGTTTATAAATACAGCTACAAATTCTGTATTCTTGATTTAAACGCACATTGAAAATGTGCTTAATGATTGTGTTTTCATACTATGTTAATGATCTGTTTTTCATTACTTAATTAAGTATTGCATTATTTACAATCAAGTTGTTTAAGAATAGTTGGTGTTTTTTTTAAAGATCATTCAGAACGCACAAGTAAAGGATTAATAAACTATTCAAATGAATATTTTTAATGTCTAATTACTTAGGCATTTAATAACAGCTAATTTGTATGTTAATAAATGCTTTATTAACTCAACCTTATCTAGTTTTGTGACCCTAATCTATTTATGCTTTGTAAATCCATTATAAATGGCAATTAAAGACTCAGTTATCTTCTAAACAGAAAAAAAGAAAATAAACAACTTAATTCATTTCTGTTCATTTCATTTGCAATCTTATCTAAAATAAATTTACTGTACAGTATAAACATTGCTAAATAACATTGCAATGTTGTATAATAATATATTGTTCAATTATTATACTGTATTTGTTTTATCAATTTTATGCTTTATTTTGACACTCCTGTTATTCAGCAATGTTTATAAACTGCTGACTAACATGTAGTTATTATGAAGTGTGTAGTTATTATAAAATGTTACCGAAACAATTTCTACACAGATGAGGACTAAAACCTGACAAATATGGTGACAGTATATATGTGATCTTGATCATTGCTAAAAACTTTAATAATTTGCAGAAAATTAAGTTAACTTGAAATAACTAATTTAAAGGCATAGTTCGCCCCAAAATAATAATGTTCTCACATTCATGTGGTTCCAAACATTGATAAGTTTCTCAAAAAAAGAAGATATTTGGAAGAATCTTGGTAACTGGTAACTACTGACTTCATTTATTCATTCATTTTCTTTTCAGCTTAGTCCCTTTATTAATCTGGCATCGCCACAGCGGAATGAACCGACAACCTATCAAGCATATGTTTTATGCAGCGGATGCCCTTCCAGCCGCAACCCATCACTGGGAAGCATCCACACACACACATACACTACGGACAATTTAGCCTACCCAATTCACCTATCTTTGGGAGAAACCGGAGCACCTGGAGAAAACCCACATGAACATGGGGAGATCATGCAAACTCCACACAGAAATGCCAACTGACTCAGTTAAGGCTTGAACCAGCGACCTTCTTGCTGTGAGGCGAACATGCTACCCACTGTGCCATCGTGCTGCTTCTACTGACTTAGTACACTGTAAAAAAAAAAACTTGCTGACTTCAAAACTTTTCTAGTCATCTCAACTCCAATCAAACTGATTAAAAATGTTAAGTTAAACTTTGGATAGCTTGAAAAATGTAGTTGAAACCTGATTAACTTATTAAAATTAGTTAAAGCAACAAATTTATTAGTTGTTTTTGACTTTACATCATTACATTTTTTAAAGCGTATGAAAAATCCAATTACGTAAGTCAGTGGCTACCACTTTTGGACATTCTTCAAAATATCTTCCATTGTGTCCAGTAGAAAGAAACCCAAAATAATTTTTGGATGAACTATGCCTTTAAATCATTTTGTAGCCTAAAGAGTTTCCCAACAGAAAAAGTATTTACCATTTATGCTCACAGAGACAGCCTTGGACTGGTCAATCCCACGATTATTGTAGACCTTGCAGACATAAAGTCCCTGAACGTCAACCCCGGCTGTCATTGTGATAGTCTGTCCTTGATTCTGCAGCTCAAGCTTCCCATTTCCATTGTATTTGTACCACTCATAGCGCTGGACTGCAGGGTTGGCATCACTTTGGCATCTCAGCGTGACCACACTGCCTTCAGACAACACTCCCGATGGGCTCACCAGAGCTATGGTGTTTCTGGGAGCATCTGAAAGAGAAAATCGACCAATGTGCTTAAATGGTAAGGCTATTTGCTTATACAAGTTAGGATTGTAAAATAAAAAAAGTTCATCCAGAAGTTCTAATGTTGTTCCAATAATACTGAATGCTCTTTGGTTACAGACGACAAGGTGAATGAAATAAATGCCCTGCTCACAATCATCAATATAATGGCTAGAGTAACTAGTTAGCAGTCACCAGTATTTAAGGTACATTAAGTCATTTTCGCCGCTAGAGGTCGCACATTCACCTCAAGCGAAGGCATATTTTGATGACCAAACTGTCTGGAAATCGAGGGTGTTTGATGTCATAGCATGCCTACACAGGACAGCGTCTGTGCTGCTAGATAAAATGGCTTATTTCTCTGGATTAGAACATTATTCAAAACAATGTAAGTACATTAGTCAGCAGAACTATATATTTCTATATATTACTAGATATTTCAGTGAAAATCTGTCAAATTGTGTTTGTAATGTTAATAACATTAGCATTGCACGACTATACATGTTTATTATGTATTAGTGTTACCTGTAGATTTCAACTTCATTCATTCATTCATCTTCTTTTTAGTTTAGTCCCTTTTTAATCTGGGGTCGCCACAGCGGAATTAACCGGCAACTTATCCAGCATATGCTTTACGCAGCGAATGCCCTTTCAGCTGGAACCCATCACTGGGAAACATTCATACACACTCATTCACACACACATACACTAGACTATTTAGCATACCCAATTCACCTATACCACATGTCTTTGGAAACCAGAGCACGTGGAGTAAACCCACGCAAACAAGAAGAGAACATGCAAACACCACTCAGAATCGGCAACTGACCCAGCCGAGGCTCGAATCAGTGACCTTCTTGCTGTGAGGCAAACGTGCTACCCACAGCGCCACCGTGTCACCCTAAAGGGGACCTATTATGTAAAAATTACTTTTACAACATGCTCAAACACAATTTTGTGGCAAAAGTGTGAATAAAGCCTTCTGATATAACTTCTGATGGTAATTAACTGATTAATCAATTAAGTTTTTTTATAGTCACACTTCATACAACATCTACAACAGTCTGCAGAAACACTTTGACTTCCATCTTCCCTATAGTATGGCAGACATCCCAAGTCTCTTGTCAGCCAAAACGCAAACCACCACTCCAGCCCCCAGCTAACTATACCCCTACAACCCCCATGTCGTGCATTCCCCCTTCTTGAAATTACTTTAACTAACTCAGCATGTCTGTAAGCCGTAGCTTGCCCACCTCTGGTTTAGAGTCTTTTTTACTGAGTCCGGAAATTTGTAGTCCCCTCACACACAGTTTATGAATGTGCCCTAGGCTACCGTAGATTAAAACCACTAACTTTGTGTTGTAGCCAGACACTTTCCCAAGTGAACCGTGTCTGGCCCACCTCTTCCAACCGGGCCAGGGCCGGCCAAGTGAACCTGAGCCCGATTCAGCGCACTCACACTTCTTAAACGATCCGGGAAACGGGCCTGGGCACGGTTCACTTGGCCGGCCCTGGCCCGGTTGGAAGAGGTGTGCCTGAGCGCGGTACACTTGGGCTTTGGCGCGGTACGCTTGTGTGTGAGTCAAAAATCCAATTCAAGATATCTACAACTGTAATTCGACTATTAGTAAATTAATTAGAGATATCTTCAAATATATTTGTAAATATCTCTAAATATTACGAATTAAAGACATCTCCAAATGTATTATGACTAGTAAAACTCAGTTAGAGATATCTCTAATTACAATTGTGACTAGTCAAAACTCATTAAGAGACATCTGCAAATATTTTTCAATGGAAGCGAATGGAGGAATATGACTAGTCATAATATATTTGCAGATATCTCCAATCTGATTTCGTACTAGTACAATTGCAATTGTAGATATCTCTAATTATTATTCTGACTAGTCGAATTATAATTATGACTAGTCAAAATATAATTAGAGATATCTCTAAATATATTTATGGAGTCAGAACAAAGATTTAAATGCTAAAAAGGCTTGCCATAGAGAGCGCTTCTGAACAGCGCAGCAGCGATGACGTAAGCGTGCCGAGGCCCGATATGGTGTGAGCGCGGGCCGTCGGGGGAGACGGGAGGGTGGACAAGCGTGCTTTGGCCCGGTTCGAGGCAACTGTACCTAGTGTGAGTACAGCCTAAGCCTTTAGGCTCACGCCTGAGCCCAAAACTGAAGACGAGACGTGACTTTTACTGGACTGTTACATATGTTATTAATCATTATTACTGTTCAATGAACACAAACTGTCGTAGATTATTAAAGGCGCAAACCCCTCACTGCACGACAGCTGCACCTTCAGCAAACCTCCTAATTCCTGCAGAACAAGGACTTTATGATTGTTTATGAGTGTCAAAAGCTTCGGCCCAGTTCAAGTCAACTGTACAAAGTGTGAGTATGCCCTTAAGGCTCGTGCACACCGAGACGTTTTTTGCTTGTGTTTTTCGTTGACGTTTAACGCCTGGTGACTAAATAAAGGGCGCCAATGTGATCGTGCCCACCAACATGCAAAACACCAGGCGCAAAGCGTCATTTAAATTAAAAAAAAAAAAACGCCTCATGCTCGTTTTTTAGTTTTGACGCACTGCGTCAAAACCTTCTCCACCAATCAGATCGGCACTTTTGTTCATGTACACAGAGCTGCTGAAGTTACAGTAAACAGCACTTGGAGGCTCTCAAGCGCAAAACTGTCAATGCGAGTGCACACTGAAGAAGAGGCAACATGAACTTTTAGCTGCTTATTGCTCTTGTGAACAATAATCATTTCTTTATCGCTTGAGCTTGCGCTGCAGCTTAAACCATTGATGCTAGTTCGAGTCACCAGTAACTTTAACAACAAGCATGTGATCTTCCTCTCCTCCTCTTCTTCTGTGTTATAAGCGGGTGTCAGAAGCTTAAAGTTGTGTAGCGCCATCTAACGTCAAGGAGTGATTTGCATCCTCTTCTGCTTGACGCCAGTGAAAATTGCTTGGGTTTGAATACGGAAAAATGTCTCGAAAAACGCTGACTATAAACGCAAACGAAAAGAGCCCCGGTGTGTAGGAACTTTTAGATTTATTTTACATCTTGTAAAAAGTGACATAATAGGCCCCCTTTAAATTTGAATACCACAGCAATTCACTCATAACTAGATGATTGTTTTTCTTTCTCACTTACACAGGACTCTCAGGGTAATGCTGCTCTCAGCTGGTGTTTTGGTGCCCTGCATGTACAGAAGGGAGCAGGAGATTTTAAACTGGTCATTCAGAGGCGTTGCGTTAAACATCTGAGAGGAGACCAGCAATGTCTGTCCAACCTCATCCTTCTTAAGACAATAAAGAGAAGAAAGCATTTTAATAATGCATCAGCTGTAGTTTGCAAGCATGATGAACTCATGATGAGTGTTATTCAACCTGGAGAGCTGGTGGCAGCAGCTCTTCTAGCTGTGTGTTCCACTGCATCAAGGGCTGCACTGAGGGACAGGAGATCACAGTGGAGCAGCTCACGGTCAGCTTGGTACCCTCTAAAACCTCCAGTACCTGGGCATGTGGGTTCAGGACAGGCGGTAGAACATCTCGCAATTCAGAAGAGAGTTAAAATGTTAACTGAGTGCCTTCAACAAGCCCACAGTGCAACTGAAATGTAAGGAAATATTCACTCATTCGTTCTATCATTTTTTTTCAGCTTAGTCCCTTATTTATCAGGCGTTGCCGCAGCGGAATGAACCGCCAACTACTTCAGCATATGTTTTACATAGTGGATGCCCTTCCAGCCACAACCCAGTACTGGGAAACACCCATGCACTCATTCACACACACTCATACACTAAGGAAAATTTAATTTATTCAATTAATTCAGCTATAGTGCATGTCTTTGGACTGTGGGGAAACTGGAGCACTTGGAGGAAACCTACAGGAACACTGGGAGAACATGCAAACTCCACACAGAAATGCCAACTGGCCCAGCGGGGACTCGAACCAGTGACCTTCTTGCTGTGAGGCAACAGTGCTAACCACTGAGCCACCACATCATCCGCATAAGTAAATATAAAAATTATTACATAATATGTAAACAATTGATAAAATATAATATTTTCCAATAACTTACAGCAAACCTACTGTATTTACATGCATCAACAATTATCTTGCTCCATATGTATTTACAGTATTATATATCTTTACTGTAAAATATACAATAATTTTCACAACGCAACTTTAAGATATAGTACCATATAGCATAACTGTCTTACATTAAAATACAGTTCATGTTACAGTTAAATACAGTGTAAAAATATATAAATTTATAAGTGTATTCTCAGCTAATTTTCAATTGAATATACATTTTTTGTCTTTTATGCAAATATCAAATGCAAATGTTTATGTAAATTAATTAGATAACTATTTTGGACCCCACTATAGGACAAAATATTAAAAAATGCTCAAGTTTTTTTTTTAAAGAATATTCTCTCATAAGTGGAATATTTAAAACATTGTAATTTAGGGCATAATAGAACAATTGGTCAAAAATAAAATTACAGATAAATTCAAGATGTTTATATTGTATATTACAGATGTATATAATATATTTTTAGACAACATTATTATTCACCATTAATAAATATTAATAATTATATACTCTATTATATATGCGCAATATCACACTCGTAGAAGTATATCAGCACTAGTGGGAGGCAGCAGGCTGAGTGCCTTAGTGTCCCACCAGTGATGATGTACAGCCGTATTGTACTGCTATGAGTGTGATATTGCATTTATAAAATAGTTCAGCGGCATAATCGTGTATATAAAAAAAGTCAAACACAGAGAGTCTCAAAAATCCTTTTGTACGAGGGACTACTTTCTTCCGCCATTTATTCACATCTGTCAGAACAGCAGAAACCTTTGCTACTTCACCAACGTCACTTTAGAGCTAGTATTTGAATGATTCTGTAGCGTAATATCTAAAGTGATAACAAAACAGGTGATTTTGCTCACATTTTAAGATTTTAAGGCTGAACGGCATGAAATGCCATCCGTGTACAGAGATTTCCTAGTATTTCTCTGTTGCAATCGGGAGATCACAAAAATTAACTCTGAAAAAGCAAAGGCAAAGCAAACACTGCCAGATTACCATGGTATAAATACAGCACTACAACAAACAAAAGAGAGATCGACTTAGAAAGTCACTTAACACTTTTATAATGATTTCATTTGCTGTAATTTGACATTTGCACTGAGTTTCTCTTCCCTAAGTACTTATTATGCTGCCTCTATTGCCATCTTGTGGCAGAACTTCAACCCTCTTTTCTTTGCTTTTGCATCTCAAAAAATATATTTAAAATTATAAGTTAAAATAGGCACGGTCTTTATAAATAAACTGCATATTTGAAATCTAAACAACTACATTCTCACATTAAAAAGCCTCAAAAGTACATTATGCTGTCCATATTTGTCAAAGTGTAGTCGTGGTGTAAAGTAACTAATTAAAATACTCAAATTACTATAAATGAGTAGTTTTTCTCAGGAATTGTACTTTTCTAAGTAGTTTTAAAAAATGTGTACTTTTACTTTCCCTGAGTACATTTTTTTGTGCAGTATCTTTTTTACTCCATTACTTTCCTACAACCTGCAGTCACAATTTTTTTTTCTTGTCTATGGTGATTGGCTAAAGTAGAAAAATCAGTCCTGTGATTCCTGTCAAATCTAATCGCACATAGAAAGTAAATCGCATTATACTGAACAACATCAAGACATGGGCATTTTATAAATTCAGCAAACCTATTGGAAGCATTAAAAATGTCCAAGAAGATGTCCAAAGTCTTTACACACATTGTGTCACATCCGTCTGTGACCACCTGAGGGCGCTGTAGCGCTCTAGGACTTTGTAGGTGCTACAGTGCCCCAGGAAAAAACTACATTTTCATACATGCCCCGCGCACACACCGGAACACCTACACTGACCTGCCATCACATCTGTTTTGTGTTACCGTTGATTATCTGGACTATATATTCTACCATTCCACCTATGTTTGATCGCGTCGTTTGTCTTCCTTGTTCAAGTTTCCAGTAAGTCTTAGATTTCCAAGTTTGTATTTCTGATCCTGTTCTCGTATGTTTGCATTAGTCTAGTTCGTGTGTCATTTGTCTAGTCTGTTTTCTAATTAGGTTTAGTTGTTTGAGTTTGTTTTTCCTGAGCCTCGTCTCTGATTTAGTTTCTGGTTTTGTTGTTTATTTGTTACTTTGTATTATCACCTTGTTGGCTGCACTGTAAATAAATAATCTGCACTTGGATCCGCACCTTTCTGTTTTTTGTTTATTGTTTTTGATCACGCTAAAACGTGACAGAACGACGCGATCAATAAATGGATCCAGCAGATAATATCATAGTGCGCCTTAAACAAGGTGATCGCTCTATTGAGCGATATATAAAGGAGTTTTTGCAATTAGCTGCGAAGAGCTCTCACAGTGACATCTTGCTAATGATGTTTTTTCGGGGAGGACTTTTGGAACCCGTCCGGTCACGCATGCCGCAATACGAGGATGACTGGAACCTGTATCGGTTTGTGGAGGAGGCTTTGCTAATCGCTGGCTCCCCCCTCTCTGTTGCCTTGAAGGAGGAGAACCCTCAGGAGGGAGGCCTGAGTAGATGGCAACAGAGAGGGATATTTTCGGGGCCAGCTGATTTAACTAAAGGAAAGAGGAGAGAGGCAGGACTGGAGTTACGGACTTACCCGCGTCGGGTTACCAGAAGAATACCCTTCTCAGAGCCCCTGGAGAGTCTTCTGGAGCTGTGTGAAACTTCAGCCTCTGCCCTATGCCCACAATGCCCGCCAGTGTCAGCTCCAGTTCCAGAGCAAGCTCCTTCTCCAGATGACACCGTTCTCACGTCTCAAACCACCAGACGAGGGCGGCGCAGGAGGAGGAAGGCTCCAGCCCCAGAGCGCCCGCCAGTGTCAGCTCCAGTCCCAGAGCGTCCGCCAGTGTCGGCTCCAGCCCCAGAGCGCCCGCCAGTGTCGGCTCCAGCCCCAGAGCGCCCGCCAGTGTCGGCTCCAGCCCCAGAGCGCCCGCCAGTGTCGGCTCCAGCCCCAGAGCGCCCGCCAGTGTCGGCTCCAGCCCCAGAGCGCCCGTCAGTGTCGGCTCCAGCCCCAGAGCACCCGCCAGTGTCGGCTCCAGCCCCAGAGCGCCCGCCAGTATCGGCTCCAGCCCCAGAGCGCAGTACAATGCCAGTTCCAGTCTGGCTTCTGGCCTTGCCGGCGCCACCCAGGTTCCTCGCCCTGCCGGCGCCACCCAGGCTCCTCCCCCTGCCGGCACCTCCCAGACTCCTCGCCCTGCCGGCACCAACCAGACGTCTCGCCCTGCCGGCACCAACCAGACGTCTCGCCCTGCCGGCGCCACCCCGGCTCCTCGCCCTGCCGGCGCCACCCAGGCTCCTCGCCCTGCCGGTCCCAGCCCGGCTCCTGGCATTACCAACGCCATCCAGACGTCTTGCTCTGCCGGCACCTCCCAGAGGTCTTGCCCTGCCGGCTCCAGTCCAGCTGCCTCCAGTCCCGCCGGCTCCAGCCCAGCTGCCTCCAGTCCCGCCGGCTCCAGCCCAGCTGCCTCCAGTCCCGCCGGCTCCAGCCCAGCTGCCTCCAGTCCCGCCGGCTCCAGCCCAGCTGCCTCCAGTCCCGCCGGCTCCAGCCCAGCTGCCTCCTGTCCCGCCGGCTCCAGCCCAGCTGCCTCCTGTCCCGCCGGCTCCAGTCCAGCTGCCTCCAGTCCCGCCGGCTCCTGTCCAGCTGCCTCCAGTCCCGCCGGCTCCTGTCCAGTTGCCTCTCCTGCTGGCTCTCTTGGGGTTCCCTGCCTTGTGTTTTCTGCAGGATCGTCCGTGGGTCATCCCTCCCGCCCCTCCCTGGTGGTCCTCCCCATTTCGGACTGATTCCCCGGCTGCACCCTGGCTTCCTGCTGGAGTGCCTGACCCTAATCTGGCCCTCCCATCCCTCCCTTTGTTCCTGCTCCGCTCCGCCCCCCCTCTTGGAACCAGTCTGGGAGTGTCTGGAAGCCGCTCTTTAGAGGGGGGGTAATGTCACATCCGTCTGTGACCACCTGAGGGCGCTGTAGCGCTCTAGGACTTTGTAGGTGCTACAGTGCCCCAGGAAAAAACTACATTTTCATACATGCCCCCCGCACACACCGGAACACCTACACTGACCTGCCATCACATCTGTTTTGTGTTACCGTTGATTATCTGGACTATATATTCTACCATTCCACCTATGTTTGATCGCGTCGTTTGTCTTCCTTGTTCAAGTTTCCAGTAAGTCTTAGATTTCCAAGTTTGTATTTCTGATCCTGTTCTCGTATGTTTGCATTAGTCTAGTTCGTGTGTCATTTGTCTAGTCTGTTTTCTAATTAGGTTTAGTTGTTTGAGTTTGTTTTTCCTGAGCCTCGTCTTTGATTTAGTTTCTGGTTTTGTTGTTTATTTGTTACTTTGTATTATCACCTTGTTGGCTGCAATGTAAATAAATAATCTGCACTTGGATCCGCACCTTTCTGTTTTTTGTTTATTGTTTTTGATCACGCTAAAACGTGACACATTGACGCACAGACTTTAATTAGACTGGATGTCACTGATGAGAAAATAGATGTCGACTGTTAAAAAAAAGGATGTCGACTGTTTGATGACCAAACAGCCATAAACAATCGCTAAATGATATGAATGAAAAATGAAAGGAAGGACCGAACGAAAGAAGGACTGAACTAATGAAAGAAGGAAGGACCAAATGAATGAAGGAAGGATTCAAGGATGGACAGAACAAACTAAGGAAGGAAAGGAACGAACGAACGAATGACTGAATGAACAAAGGACCAAATGAAGAAAGGAACACAAGTTATGAACGAATGAAAGAATGAGCAAACAGATAAAGGGAGGAACGAAGAAAGGACCGATTGAAGGAAGGAACAAATGAATAAAGGACAGAACAAAGAATCTAATGAAAAAAGGAACAAAAATATAAACAAAGGAACGAACAAACAAAGGACCAAAGGACTGAAGTAAGCATTCAAGGAAGAACTGAACAAACTAAGAAAGGAACGAACAAAAGAATAAACAAATGACCTAATGAAAGAAGGAACAAAAATATGAATGAGCGAACAAATGAAGATAGGAACGAAGAAACGAAGAAACGAATGAATAAAGGAAGGACAGAACAAACAAACAATGGAAGAAAGGTTGGAAGGAACAAACGAATCTAAGAAGATCTCTAAATGCACTACAGAATGTTACGTTTACACATCCCTGCACAAACTGCATGTAGATGCATCAGCTTTTAACAGCGTAATACTCACTACTCTAGAGTACTTCTGAAACGTCTTTTTACTCATACTTTGAGTAGTGTTGACAACAGATACTTTTACTCTATTTGCACTACATATTTGGACAAGTAATGGTACTTTTACTTAAGTATGATTTTTCTTTACACCACTGACTGTAGTAAGTTTATTAATCTGCTATAACTATGTGGGTGGAGTAATACACAAGGGTGAAGAGGCTCTACGAGTGCTGATATAGCTATTTTTTATTTAGTGTAGGAAAAAGTGCTGCCATCAAATGAGAATGTTTTTTTATTTAAGATTTTAAAGATGCACTTTAAGCCATTGGAAATGTTTTGCACGTTTCATAGCATTAGAAATATTTTGGGGAAACTGTTAATATTTTATCTTATGAAATTATTTTTATATTTTTTTTCAAATGCTTTACAGTTTGTTGTTTGGGGTGTCTTGCCATTGCCCTAGAAACAAGCAAGGAAAAATACTACCTTCATGAACTGTGATTCTCACTCCTTGCTTAAATGTGTACTTGAGATTTTCATGACCCTGAAGCCTGAAGAAATACGTGTCACCGAATCCAGCAGGAAAGTTGTGAAACACAGTGGTGCAATTATTGTTTAGGATGTTGCCAATCACGTTTCCGTTTAGAAGAGATGTCGTCTTTCTGGCTGAACTGAACACAGTTGCTCCTTCTATGTCTGTTTTTTTCCACAGCGCTTCAGCTGATTGGCTTAGGAGTGGTTTGAATGAGTCGGGGATCTCAAACTGACATGGAATATGAACACAGAAGCCACTTATGGCATCTATTTTCTGAGGCAGCTTGATTTCCCACATGTTGCTGGGAGCACCTGCGCATAAATACATACAATATTGTTTGTTTTTCAGATTGTAAAGTAATGTGTATTTATATAGCACATTTATTGTTTATGGCCATACACCCAAAGCGCTTCACAATCATGAGGGGGGTCTCTCCACACCACCACCAGTGTGCAGCATCCACTTGGATGATGTGACGGCAGCCACAGGACAACAGCGCCAGTGCGCTCACCACTGCTCCAGCTATAGGTGGAGTGGAGAGACAGTGATACAGCAAATTCGGGGATGGGGATAATTAGGAGGGCATGATGGGTAAGGGCCAATGGAGAGAATTTGGACAGGACACCGGGGTTAGACCCCTACTCTTTACGAGAAGTGCCATGGGGTTTTTAATGACCACAGAGAGTCAGGACCACAGTTTAACGTCTCATCTGAAAGATGGATTATTTTAATAAAACATGGTAATGACAAACCAGAAGTGCGACACAATAAGTCAAAAGTACAAAGTTAAATAGTCATCATCACATTTATTTATGGATTCAAATTTTTATGTAAACCGTGAAACTCAAAAGATCAACAAAAGCAAGTCTCTCACCTTTCAATATCCAAAGCATGAATACCAAGATTGTTAGTCCACTCATGCTCTATAGAGATCTGTAAAAACATCAGTTGTAGTCCAGTGAATAGGCTTTGTAGACTTTCTTTCATCCATTGTTGGCATTTTAAGTTAATTTTACAATTAATAGGTTGAATAAACACGTGAACAATTAACTTTAATTCACATTACCCCCTTTTTTGGTTAATAAAATAATAATAATAATAATAAAATCTGAGTTTTACCTCTTTCTGCACTGTCTGTAATTCCCTCAATAGTTTAATGAAATGAAAGAGGAACTGCTGGAGATGGAGTTTCAACAGTAGTTTTGTCAAAATTTAGCTATTACAAAATTGACAATAAAGGAAATGAGAAAAAAATCTACTTTCATTTAAGCTAAAATAAGAGCAAAATAAAGGAATGGAGCATCGAAAACTGAAAATTCTCTCAACATTTGTTCTGAACCTGTTTGGCTTTTGTTGAGCACATCTTAAGAAGTTTTTTTTAAGAATGTTGGAAAACAATGACTTATATAGATGTCAGTGGTATTTGTATTAATTATTTCATTTTCTTTTTGGCTTAGTCCTTTTATCAAAAAGCATGTACATTTTGAACAAAAACAGCTCCAGATGAGGACAAGACAACAAAAATTTAAACTGTCCCTGGAAAATAGAACATCTGTCTTCTGTCATATCTCTATTCAGTAATCATGGTAAATATCAAGACCACTTTTAGGACAAAACTTATCTTATTGATGAACATTAACCCTAATTCATTCATTTTGCTTCGGTTAAATCCATTTATTCATTATTCATTATTTCCACTGCGGAATGAACCACCAACTTATCCAGCATATGTTTTACACAGTGTATGCCCTTCCAGCTGCAACCCATCACTAGGAAACACCCATACACTCCCATCCACACACATACACTATGGACAATTTAGCTTACCCATTTCACCTGTACCACATGTCTTTGGACTTGTAGGAGAAACTGGAGCACCTGGAGGAAACACACGCGAACACGGGGAAAACATGCACACAAACACAGAAACACCAACTGATCCAGCGACCTTCTTGCTGTGAGGCGACAGCGCTACTCACTGCGCCACTGTTCAACAGAAAAATATTCATTTATGAACAATAAATGAGATACAGCAGAGATGAACTGTACAATAAATGAATATTAAAATTTTCGCGTTCTTTTCTGAAATGTTGCCTAAATATGCAGATTTCCTCATTAGGGGCGTGCTCATTTTTATTCTTTTACAAAATACAAATCATGACATTTGATAAACTCATGGTCAAAATTCATTTTTCATTTTGTTGACAAATTCATAGCGAACAGGCAACATTACACAATGTTCTAGAAATGTGTAAATGTTAGTTAATGTTATTAAAATGACTGTTTTTGGAACAGGGACGAAGCAGTGGCGCAGTAGGTAGTGCTGTCGCCTCACAGCAAGAGGCTCGAGCCTCGGCTCAGTTGGCTTTTCTGTGTGGAGTTTGCATGTTCTCCCTACGTTCGCTTGAGGTTTCCTCCGGGTGCTCTGGATTCCCCCACAGTCCAAAGACATGAGGTTCAGGTGAATTGGGTAGGCTAAATTGTCTGTAGTGTGTGTGTGTGAATGTGTGTGTGGATGTTTCCCAGAGATAGGTTGCAACTGGAAGGGCATCCGCTGTGTAAAAACTTGCTGGATAAGTTGGCGGTTCATTCCACTGTGGCGACCCTGGATAAATAAAGGGACTAAGCCGACAAGAAAATGAATGAATGAATGTTTTTGAAACATTCTTTTAATTTGATATAAAAACGTTCATGGACCATTAATACAATGTTGAGGGAATGTTCTAATAATGTATTGAGCATGTTAATATAACATGAGACTGAAATGTATAACGAAAACATTTAGAATAGCATTAATATAACTAAAAAAGGGCATAATCTAAAAAATGAACACTTGTAAACGTTTTAAGAACATTCCATCATAAGGTTTTTCTAATTTAATGAGGGAAACGTTCTATGAACATTTATAAAATGTGGATAGAATGTTATAATAAAACTATAAATTATGTTGTAAACATTAATATAACAAGGAACTGGAACTTCATGAAAACGTTTTAAAAAATGTTTTTATGACCAAAATATAATGTTAAAACCTAAAACATGCTGGCTGTTTTGATTGTTCTGAGAACATAATAAAACGTTATCCAACGAAGGGACAACGTTAAGGAATGTTTTAGAACTCAAAATTGTTAGCTGAGTTAGAGAAGTAAACAGTGTCATACACATGCTATATTGAATTGATTTTAGATTACCAAGTTTGCCAACTATGGATGTAACAAACTCGTAAAATGTGCAAAAGACTAATATGAGGTATTCATTTGGGAAACTGTGTTACTACTGAGATGTTTACTTATATTTGTTTTACATTTTAACATTTACATTTACATTTTAAACTTGGTAATTTTTGTTTCTCACATATAATGTGATTCCACCTTAAATAGTATTAATGAATGCCCACTTTACAATTTTAATTTGAATATTTGCTCATATCCAAATCAGTTAATTGTCACTGGTTTATTCGTTATTATCACCAACAATTATGGTTGTCAGACCAAAGAGATTCAAATTTGCTCTGTCAAACTTGTACACAGCAGTAGGTGGCAGCAAAGTTCAACATTTGGAAACTACCGCTCCAGATGATGTAATGGTCAAACCTTATGTGAGTATCCGTCGTCATTTACTCATCCTCCACTTGCAAAACCTTTTACAGTTTATTTCTTGAGTTGAACACAAACGTAGATATTTAGAAGAATGTTGGAAACCATCAGCAATTGACTTCCACAAGAAAACAAGAAACAGTATGGAAATCAATAGCTGCTGCTTTCCAACATTCTCAACTAAAAATATTACATGCAACTTTGAGTTGATTGAACTGATTAAAATTAGTTAAAGTAACATAAAACACCATTTGTTGTCATCGCTTTTAAAGTGCTGCATTTCTTTACATATATACCCATAGATACATAGACACATTGATACACAGATACATAGATATCTGCATATCATACACACACACACACACACACACACACACACACACACACACACACACACATATATATATATATATATATATATATATATATATATATATATATATATATATATATATATATATATATATGAGCAATATCACACTCGTAGCAGTACTGTATAGCACTGGTGCGAGGCGTGTGTTGCGTGTATATATATAAATAAATAAATATATATATATATATATATATATATATATATATATATATATATATATATATATATATATATATATATATATATATAGACAACAGTTTCAATTTAGTAGTTCGAAATGCAACTTAAAGGAATAAAAGATAAAATAATTAATAATTATTAAGAATTAAGACAAATAGTGTATGTACTTTATCATGCATATTGTTCTTTTTATTTTATTTTTTTTTTTTGCAAATGAATAGTTTAATTTCAAAACATTTTTTCAATTAATAAATTCTTTTAATTAATTTTCTATTCTATAAAAGTGCCATCTACTGTTGTTTCTCTGAACAGCCGCTGGTCAGAATTTCCACCCCAGAACAAGTGCTTATTAATTCTGAAAATAACATGAATTATTTTGCTAATTGTTATTTTATTTCAGTTCGTTTTTCATTGACTGTTGTTAGTTTCATTTTTCTTCTTTTATTTATTGTGAATTTTTAATTTTATTTTTAAATGTTTTTTTGTCTGTGGGACGTCTTAACTTTAATTTACTAAAACAACCTTGGGATAAACTAATTCTGGCCAGCCATTTTTAACATTAATCTATGTGTGTAATGTTATTTTCATTGATTATTTGCTTTATTGTTAAGATGTTGCAATCATTATATCTTTCCTAGTAAGTACGTATAAGTACTTTTTCATTAATTAATAGTACACATTGTTCAGATACCTGTATATATTTCAGGTGTTGACTAGTAATGTTGATAATAGTGACAAATTTCACATTTTTTCCATATAAGCTATGAACATCTGCCTTTGAAATATCAACTATTTGGGTTTGACTAATTGTGACTATTATATATTTTATATACTAGTCATTATTCAGTATAAGGTATTCATTAGGTACTTTCGTTGACACCAATTAGGCTATTAGAGACTTGCACTTAATTACTAGATGCAAGTGTTTATTTGATTTGCGTATAGTAAACATGACAGTCATCATTTATTATGTCATTAGATTCTAGGACTTATTCGATTCTAGTATGTACTTTTTTGACATGAACCTATTAAATAGATAGTTCTTATTGCTTTGCCACTGGAACTTATTCAGTGGATACTAATACACATACTGTATATTAGATACTTATTCGAAGTGTAACTAATATTTTATTTTAGTAAGATCATTTATTGCTGTCTGCTGCACTGTGTTCGCCTCACAGCAAGAAAGTCTCTGGTTCAAGCCTCGGCTGGGTCAGTTGGCGTTTCTGTGAGGAGTTTGCATGTTCTCCCCGTGTTCGGGTGGGATTCCTCTGGGTGCTCCGGTTTCCCCCACAAATCCTATGCTGGATAAGTTGGCAGTTCATTCCACTTTGGTGACCCCAGATTAATAAAGGGACTAATCTGAAAAGAAAATGAACAAATGAATTTATTGCTGTCTTCTGTGTCTGTGACTAGTCAGAACATAAGACATTTAAAAAAGCAATTCTGACTAGTATATAATAAAATAAGATGGTGAAAGCACTATAATCTAATAAAAAGAAGTAACAACAAATGAAGACAGTTGAAGTCAAATACATAAATAAAAATATGGATATCTGATGGATAAGTAATAGTATCTAATGATTAATTACTAATATTTAAGTATAGACACCAACTAAAAAGTATAAGTATTAATAAAACATCTAGAGTGGTTAGCACTGACAGCAAGAAGGTTGCTGGTTTAAGTCCCGGCTGGGTCAGTAGGCATTTCTGTGTGGAGTTTGCATGTTCTCCTTGTGTTAGTGTGGGTTTCCTCTAAGCGCTCCTGTTTCTCCCGCAGTCCAAAGACATGCACTATAGGTGAATTGGGTAAAGAAATATGCCCGTAGTGTATGTGTGTGAATGTGAAAGTGTATGCGTGTTTCCCAGTACTGGGTTGCAGCTGGAAGGGCATCCGCTGTGTAAAAACATATGCTGAAATAGTTGACGGTTCATTCCGCTGTGGTGACCCCTGAAATTAGGAACTAAGCTAAAGAAAATTAAAGAAGTAAATAACCACTAGTACATAAAAATACAGGTCACACTTTACAATAAGGTTCATTTAGTTAACTCTATTATTGCTAACGCATTTACTAACGTTAACAAAGCTTATTAAAAACTGTAAGCCTACAGTTCATTGTTCATTCATTTTGGCAAATACATTATTCAAAACTACTTGTTTAAAATGATTTTTTGACAATTATTAATGTTTGTTGTATAACTAAGTGAGCCACAGCTATGCTAATGCTAGTTCAGAGATCAGTAGGCACAAAGAGCACAAAATCACCAAGAGGCGACATTCTAGTGCGATTTGGGAAACAGCCACTAGATGCCACTAGTGTCACGCGGCAGCCATTTTGGAATGAAAATTGCAATAGAACAACAGCATGTTATCAGTCTGTAAAATAAACTATTAAAAGTGCTGATAATTGTGATAGTAAGTGTTTAATTGTCGCCTTTCAGGTTTTATCTCAGCTTTAATGAGCTTTTTAAATAAATAAATAAAAAACAAAGCAGCTGCTTGCCATCGCGACAGCAATAAGATCCAATGGACGGCCAATCTCTTTCTCTCCAAAATGGAGGAATTTCGGGGTTGTTGCTGGGCGCTGCTGTTGCAATGGAACGTTCTATTGAGTGTCGCCTCTTGGTGATTCTAAGCTCTTTGCTAGGCATATCAAAGTCATTTCACTCGGCGGTCATCTTTGAAACGCCTCTCGGGCAGTGGGAATTCTGTTTGAATGGGAAAACATCAAATTCTTCAAAATTACTTGCCAAGCTTACCATTTTATTTCAAATTACGAATAACCAATAACATTAAATAAGAACTGTCTATTTAGTTTGATTTCTAAATGTTTGTATCACACAAAATCTGCAACTGTACTAGAAAGCGAGCTTTATTCGCCATATAGCGATCGCTGATTGGCTCCTGTACTACAAGGCGGGCATTATTCGCCATAACGCAATCGCTGATTGGCTCCTGTACTAAAAGGTGGGGCTTGATTCGCCATACTGACAGTTACACTTTTCCCCATTCAAAAGTATATGAGTGACACGTCTGTATTTTATAGTCTTCGGGCATATTTTTACCAGTTGTTAAGTTTGAATTAAAAAAAAAAAACATTCTGGTTGTCTGAATAGTTGGATGAAGAATAAGAATAATGTGTTTGCCTGCAGAAGGTGAAAAAATTCAAATGAGTGGAAATGTGTGTCAAATTAAATTAAATTAAGTTACGCCAACAAGTTATTTTACTTTGAGTGTAAAGGAGCTGAATTCGTAAAACATTCCGCTGTATACATTTCTGAAGATCACCACGGTCACTGGAAGCCACAGTTTACACTTTTAGAGATCTCAAATTTCTCTCAAAAGTGCCATTCGTGCCTGCTGTTCTTGCATAAATCCACCAGAGGCCGCTGTTGACTGACTGATTGATCGACTGACCCAACCTCCTCTTTCCCTAAAAACAAACAAATGTGTTTTCAAAAGCTTGACCAGATTGACCAGTGACCACCCACTTCACCTAAACCCAACATTTTTCGAAAGCAATCCAAAAAAAGAAAAGCCCTCTCCTGATTTTTACTACACTTTCAGATTTTACCACATTCGCAGCCTGTTATTTGATTGTTTGTTTTATTTTTTAGCTTCTGTCTTACGTGCTTTCTGGAACCACTCTTCGCCAGACCAGAACCCAGTCGTCATGGTCAACTCCTCTCTGCATCTCAAGTCCACTGATGTACATGGAGAGCTAACTGGACAAACTAGTAATAGGAAAGTGGTCCATACAGAGGTAAGCGGTCAGCACGAAAAGAAACGGCGTCATACCGCCCCATATTGTTAGTTTTAGAGACGAAATGCTGCCATACGTACTTCTGAATACATCATTCACGATCTCCAGAAGTTTATATAAGGCTGTTTTCAGAATGAGCCTATGTTGGCCAAAGCTAAACTGCTGATACCTTAGTGACAGGTCAATAGCTAATATATCAAATGTGTCATTTATCCCAAAATACAACACAAAAACTTTTCTATTCCCATTCAAAAATATTTGTTTAAGATCATGTGGTCTATTTTAACAAAGAAGACCACACAATCCTATCCAAATACTTTTGAATTGATGTAAAATATTATACTCTTAACAAATGAGGGGTAGAAGTATTAATATAAGTAATGGTTTGATTCAGTTTTTTTAACTTTAAAATTGAAGGAATCTGATGTTTCGGAGTACTGCTTGAGTGTATCTAAAGTGTTTCAGACAGGATATCGTGTTTTTATCTCTCCCAGAGGCACGATGATGTAAACACACAAATGTATTTTCTGTTTGTTCATCTGCGTGTCTCCTCCTCCTTCCTGCTTGTCTTCTGCTTTGTCTCTAAAGAAAACACTTATTGACCACATGACAAGAAATGGGAGAAAATGCTTTAGACAGAGAGAGGGAGAGCAGCTGGAAGTGATGTCAATGAACTCAATGATTTTTTATTTGTCTGCACACTGATCAAGACGACGCAAGAACCACATTCACAAATTGCAGTACTATGCAGTGGTGTTTCCTCAAAGACTGAATCACTGAGCAAGACTTCATTCAGACTGAAGGTAAGAGCGCGGACTACATTGAAAAGTACTGTATAAAGTTGTTTCAGACTCTATATGAATCTTTTTTGTTTGTACTGTCATTCTGCAATACAATTCAGGATGTGATTTTTGTAAATAACTTTTATGTCAAGTTATATTGTGTGTTTGTTTATATATGCCAATAACTTTTAGAATTGATTTATACTTTTATATTGAAATTCTTATATAGTTCACCCCGTTTTGTCAATATTTACCCTGTAAAAGATGCTGGGTTCCACACAATCCTTTCATGTCATCTCAATGCAAATCATTTAAGTTAATTTACTGGATTTAACAATTTTAAGAGGATTGAAAATGAAACAATTAAGTTTTCCTAAACACAGTTGTGTTCTCAACTCATTTTTAAATAAGTAGTTTGAACAAGCAGCAAAAATGTTTAATTCTCTACTTGTTATTGACTTTTTTGTATTTTTACCCTTAGCCCCCATAACATTCTTCAAAATATCTTCTTGTTTTGTGTTCAACCAAAGAAAGAAATTCATAAAAAATTAGAGCCACTGGAGTTAGTCTTTACAAATTTAAGTGGATTTAACTTAATTAACTTAATTTAAGTGTAATTTAACTTAAAAACTAAAAATCTGAAGAATTGTGTTGTTTCAGCTCGTTTTAAAGAAGTAGATTGAACAAACAGCAAAAATATTTTTGAGTCTACTTATCATTGACTTCTATAGTAGTTTTGGTCTTTCCCCCCAACATTCTTCAAAATATCTTCTTGTTTTGTTCAACCAAAGAAAGATATTCATAAAAGTTTAGAACCGCTTGAGTGAGGTAATGTTGAGAAATTGTGTGAACAGCCCCTTTAAATTATAATGATTTACTGTATAAAATCCTGTGTGGAGACAACATAAAGAATTTAAGTTAACTTATTGTTTTTTACAAATATGAGTGGATTTAACATAAAACAATTAAGTTGTCACAACAAAACTCAAGCATTGTGTTGTTTCAGCTCATTTTAAATAAGTAGATTGAACAAACAGCAAAAAAATATTTAATTCTCCACTTGTCATTGACCTCTATTGTAATTTTAGCCTCAACATTCTGCAAAATATCTTCCTGTTTTGTGTTCAACCAAAGAAAGAAATTCATAAAAAATTAGAACTACTGGAGTAAGTCTTTACAAATTTAAGTGGATTTAACCTAATTAACTTAATTTAAGTGTAATTTAACTTAAAAAAAAAAAAACTGAAGAATTGTGTTGTTTCAGCTCGTTTTAAAGAAGTAGATTGAACAAACAGCAAAAATATTTTTGAGGCTACTTATCATTGACTTCTATAGTAGTTTTGGTCTTTCCCCCCAACATTCTTCAAAATATCTTCTTGTTTTGTTCAACCAAAGAAAGAAATTCATAAAAGTTTAGAACCGCTTGAGTGAGGTAATTTTGAGAAATTGTGTGAACTGCCCCTTTAAATTATAATGATTTACTGTAAAAAATCCTGTGTGGAGACAACACAAAGAATTTAAGTTAACTTATTGTTTTTTTACAAATATGAGTGGATTTAACATAAAACAATTAAGTTGTCACAACAAAACTCAAGCATTGTGTTGTTTCAGCTCATTTTAAATAAGTAGATTGAACAAACAGCAAAAAAAATATTTAATTCTCCACTTGTCATTGACCTCTATTGTAATTTTAGCCTCAACATTCTGCAAAATATCTTCCTGTTTTGTGTTCAACCGAAGAAAGAAATTCTTGAAAGTTTAGAACCGCTTGAGTGTGAGGAAATGTTGAGGAAATTGTGTGAAAAGTCCCTTTAAATCGTAATGGTTCACTGTAAAAAATGCTGGGTCCACACAATCAATTTGTGTTAAGCCAACATAAAGAATTTAAGTTAACTTATTAGTTTTTCCAAATTCAAGTGGATTGAACTTAAAACAACTAAGTTCAATCCACAAAAAAACTCAAAAAATGTGTTGTTGCAGCTCATTTTAAATAAGTAGTTTGAACAAGCAGCAAAAATATTTCATTCTCCACTTGTCATTGACTTCTATTGTATTTTTAGCCTCAACATTCTTCAAAATATCTTCTTGTTTTGTGTTCAACCGAAGAAAGAAAATCATAAAAGTTTAGAACCACTTGAGTGAGAGGCAATGTTGAGGAAATTGTGTGAACTGCTCCCTTAACTCATAATGGTTCACTGTAAAAATGCTGGGTCCACACAATCGGTCTGTGTTGAGACAACAAGAAGAATTTAAGTTAACTTATTAGTGTTTACAAATTGAAGTGGGTTGAATATAAAACAATTAAGTTGTACCTCCCCCCAAAAAACTCAAAAATTGTGTTGTTTCAGCTCATTTTAAGTAAGCAGTTTGAACAAACGTTGAGTGTTTTACAATTACTGCTTTGTGTTTAGCGTAAAAGGAGAAACACAACTGATTCTAATGCTGACACCTGTTTTTTTTTTTTTTTAATGGATTATCAGCAGGTTTTACAATGTGTGATTAAGGACACGCAGTTCTCTTTTTTGCTATAACATTTAGTGTGAGTAACTGCTAAATATAATCTCAATACTCTAAATACAAAGATGTTGTGACCTCACATTATTCAGTGGAGCAATTCATAATAACTTGCATTAGCTTCTAAACCAACTTTTAAACCAGTTTTATATGCTGAAACCTTTTAGTTGCCAGACAACTCATATTTAAACTATTTTATGGTGTAGCTTGGAATATGAGCATGCGATAACACTTATGAAGAAGTATCGCTCATTAAAAATAAGTGTACTAGAACGATGTGTTCATTTGAGGGTGGAAGTAACACATATTTTTGACCTACTGGTAATAGCCATACCTTATTCTTCATTTCTACATTAGAGTTTGCAGTGTTTAAAGTAAACATAAATTAATTCGAAATGCCAATAATAATAAAAAAATCTAAAAAATAAAAGTTTGCATTGTTAAGCTACTTTTTAAACATTGGATCGAACTGTAATGTAAACTTAAGATGCAAGTATAGATAAAGGACAAAATATGCTTTCAGTGAACATATTAAGAAGGCCATAGTCAGCTGTATTTAAAATAAACAAGCTTAAGCCAGTAAATCTAGCACAAACCCTTGTTACTTTTGACCCACCCATGTGTTACTTTTGTGTCTACTGACGAGGTCAAAAGTAACAATGTGCAGTTTATTTTTAAGGTAAAATAACTTTGAAGTTGTTGTACATTTGTTCAAAATATCACTTGATATTGATAGACCACAGTTATAAATTAGTAAACACAGACAAACAAATATTTCTGTCCCTGCTTGTTAAAGAGAGTATTTTAAAAACCTCATCATGGACTTTCCCTCATGTAATTTTTTTTTCTTTTTGTTGAACACAAAAGAAGATATTTTGAAGAATGTTTGTTGCTGGCACTCATTAACATCCTTAGAAGAGAAAAAAACATTGGAAGTCAATGAGTGGTAAACTGTAAAATAAATCTGGTTACCTTCATTTTTTAAGCTGAATCAAAAATAGACCTCATATTAATATTAAACTGACTTGCATAGAGCTTGCGTAACTCATACAATTAAGTTGGAACAGTATTAACGTAGTTTAATAAGTTAGAAATAACTAAAACCGCTGTGGTGACCCCAAATTAATGAAGGGACTTAGCCGAAAAGAAAATAAATGAGTGCATGAATATGTTGTCATGACTAACTGATAATTTTTTACAGTGTAGATATTTCACTGCATCTTATTTTGTGTTAACAGAAGAAACTCAAATAGTTTCCGAACCAGTAAAGAGTGAGTAAATGATGAAGTTTTATTTTTAATTAAGTTAATTTTCTCATTAATACCAATATTAAGCGTTAAGAACGTACAATTTATTACATGCATTCTCTAAATTAGACTCAAGAGATTCCTTTTTAAGACTGTGTGCCTGTGTGTTTCCTTCCACTTCTGTATTTTGTTGAAGGTGAAAGGTTCAGAGATTTTTTTTCCCCCTTTTTTCCAGACAGATCTTTTGAAACAGACTCTGAGTAAGAGCTGGTATAGCTGTCATGTGAGACTATATTAAACTATATAAATATTTAATCCTACTGTACTATATTTAAATGAAAATGTTAACCACCCTATAAATACACAAAGAAAAGGTGTTGAGCGCATAAGAGGAAAAACTTGAGATATGACATATGATTATATTCTTGCTCATATTTACTCACTTCTTGTCTGGTAGTTCTTGTTAAGTATTTGCACACAATATTACGGTGGCCGGAGAGCTTAGTGTGCTGCAACTAAAGAAAACACGTGTGCTGCAAATACTCACAATGCAAACACAAATAGAAAAAATGCGCTCAAATCTTTACAACACAAATAGAATAATGCGCTGTAAATAGCATGGACCACAATGGAAACATATTGTAGGAGATGAACTGAAAATCTGTGACAGATGGCTCGGATTTGCCAATTGTGCAGTGACTATTGCTCAGGGAAGTTGTAGGTGACGTGAAGGTGAGCTTTTTGTTTATTTTAACACCCTGATTAAATGATTCCTTTGTCTTTTGCATATTATTAGCTTAAATAAACTGATGATTTACTGTGAGTTGTTATTAGATAACTAAACTGACGAAGTATCCTCAACTAAATATGAGTACTGCGGGACGTATAATAGGAGGTGAGCTTCCCCCCCTCCAGGACATTTACACCAGGCGGTGCATGAGGAAATCCAAGAGAATTATCAGTGACTCCAGCCACCAAAGCCATAGACTTTTCTCTCTGCTACCCTCAGGCAGACGATTCCGCAGCATCCGATCACGCACCAGCCGGCTGAAGGAAAGTTTCTTGCCTCAGACTATCAGGCTGATGAACACTTAACACACCACACACAGACTCTTCCATACCCCTCACTGCACACCATCAATATGTATGCACTGCACTTTAACCAATCCATACTTGAAACAATACTGCCTACAAGTATGTGGACACCTATTCATTGCACATATCGCTGTCAATTTCACATTGTTGTTGTATTTGCACTGTCTGTATTTTGCTCTGTCTGGAGCCAGCACCTAAGCTTTTCACTCATCATAGCACTTGTGCTGCTGATGATGTGAAAATAAAAGTGATTTGATTTTGATTTGAATGAAAATAAGTTCACAATGAGCACTGTTAAATTCTAATAAATCGCAGATAAGAATAAGCTATTTAAAATATAGCTATAGGCCCTTTTAGTAGGCTAACGATAGAAAAGACATCCCAGTTGTAAGAGTGACAAATAATAACTTGACTTCTAGTTGATTATTTGGAAGCGTTAGAAGGTAGATTCTTCAGATCAATCATCTGTTGAACTGCATCCCAATCATCACAAATACTGCAGAAGACCTACTGGAACCTGGACCCAAGATTCTCAGAGAAATCAGTCAAGTTTGGTGAAGGAAATATCATGGTTTAGGATTACATTCAGTATATGTGTGCAAGAGATCTGCAGAGTGGATGTCTACATCAACAGCCTGAGGTATTAAAACATTTGTGCTGCCCATTACATTACAAACCACAGGAGAGGGCAAATTCTTCAGCAGGATAGCGCTCCTTCTCATACTTCAGCCTCCACATCAAAGTTCCTAAGCAAAGAAGGTCAAGGTGCTCCAGGATTGGCCAGCCCAGTCACAAGACATGAACATTATTGAGCATGTCTCGGGTAAGATGAAAGAGGAGGCATTGAAGAAGAATCCAAAGAATCTTGATGAACTTTAGGAATCTTGCAACACTTTCTTTGCCATTCCAGATGACTTTATTAAGAAGTTTATTGGTAATAAGGTATTTGAGTTATTGCAGAGATGGATGCAATCCTCCAAGCTCATGGGAGTCATACACAATATATTATTTTTTCTGCATGACGTTATATTCTAGACCAGGGGTTCCCAAACTTTTCAGCACGCGACCCCTAAAATAACAATGCCATTGACTCGCGACCCCCAATATCCTCTGAGGTGGTTATAAATACAGAAAACTTGCATGCAATGGCGCACACACACACACCAATATTTTTTATGTATTTCAGTGCTGTAAATGGGCCAGAAAGTTTAACCTGGTGTTATAAGATCAATCTGCTGCATCTGACGCTATTGCTGTCTTTAATATAATGTATTTACCCCGGGGGTCGCAATCCAATAGAACAAGTAAATAAGCTACTATAGTAACTATAAACGACTGTTTTTTTCTCTTCAGTTGGTTATGGATAAAATATGGTAATTTCTTATGGCCTAATAATAATAAGTAGATTTTTGGAAATCACCAGGCGACCCCCCTTCATTGTTCCGTGACCCCTCAAGGGGTCCCGACCCCCACTTTGAGAACCACTGTTCTAGACTGTACATTGTTTCTGTTAAATGAAAAGACTTTTGTCAAGGCAAAGTCAGACCTTACTGTGCTGATTGAATAATTAAAAATCAAGGCATGATCATGTTTTATTTTGGTAAAATAAGCGTAATCTAGAGCACTTTGGCTTTCAAATTAGCCACTTCTGATGCCAAATGATCAATAAGAAATCAAGTTATTAATTGTTGTTCCTTAAACTTAGACAGGCGTTATGACGTCAGGTTGTGTAAAAGTACAACATGCTTTTTGTCAAATCAAAATATGCATGTGTTGTGAAGATTTGCAGCATGTTTTTCTATTTGTGTTTGCGATGTGAGGCTTAGCAATGTGTTGTGTTATTTGCGTTTACATTATGACGATTTGCGCGTGTGCTGTCAAAGCAATGAAGACGTTTTTCTTAATTATACTGTCCATACAATTTATGCAAAGCAACTTGTAATCCATTAAAGGTCTTGTGAAGTGCTTTGAAATGTGATTGTTTTGTACAATGTGTGAAGTAATTTGAACTCAAACATGAAGCCAGCGTGGGACATAGATTAGCTCCTCACCTTTCTCAAAAAAACAGCCAATAGCATTGCTTTTTTATCCCAATTCTGCCAGAGAGAGTGGTTAAAATGGAGGGCACATATTACTAAGCTGCATCTGTAACCGCCTACTACTTGAGTAGGTAAAACATTCAAAGTTACTACATGACTACTTAGAAAAGTATGTTCTATATAGTGTGAATGTGACTAGTGGGAACAGAATTCGGACATACTACATCCATTATTTGTTATTATCACATGACCTACTGTACCTGCGACAATTAGGTTGCTTTAAATCCCGTTCATGACTTCTCTCATGTGGCATCATTATATAGTAGTGTCTATTGGATGCACACTACAGAAATCTTGGAAGGAGTGGGTCACTTCTCGTCTAATGTTAGTCAAACACAATATTTGGACTCTGCTTACATACAGATTTTCACATACAGTATCCCTACGCAATCTCAAATGCAGCCATAATGTCTTAATGGGGTGGGACAAGTCAGATACCAGAGAGCATTTGATTGGTCAGAAGATTTGATAAGAAACTGAAGTATGAGTTGACAAAAAAATGATGATCCATTTAGGCAAAAGTGACAAACTGCAAGCTTTGGATTTTCATGGTCTTAATGTGGATTTTCTTAATGTTTTGGAGTACAATTGTCTATAGATATTCGTAAGGCTAACACACTGATACTGACATCTAAAACACTTTATTTTGTTTATCTCTCAGAATGGCCTTCAATACAACTCTTCACACCCACTCCCACATTGATGTATCAACCCACCATGAGAAATCAACACTGGACGTTGATGCCATTATGGAAAATATTACCATTGTCCTGTACACCATTACCATCATCTTCGGCATCAGCGGGAACTCTGTGGTCATCTGGGTGGCAGGTTTTCGTCTTAAACCCAACGTCAGCAACGTTTGGTTGGTCAACCTTGCAGTAGCAGATCTGATCTTCTGCTTCACCCGAATCATTTCACTCATTAAAAACCTCTTCTTTGACTACTGGCCTTTTGGACTCTTTCTCTGCAAGTTCAATGGTTTCTTCAAGTACGCCAACATGTTCTGCAGTGTTTTTCTTCTGGCTGTCATTAGTGTGGATCGAGCGCTCTGCGTCTGGTGTCCGGTGTTCACCAGGAAACGACGGACAATATGTGCTGCTCGTGTGGTCAGTGTGGGAGTTTGGATCGTGGCTGTGATCTTTAGTTCGCCCTACTTTGTTTACCGGCAGGTCTACCTTGGTGACAACAATTTGAGCAAGTGCTCTCTGGAGGTCAGAACAACTTTACATTGGTTAAGGACAAAAAACTTTTAATATGGAATAAAATAGCTTTTATTGCATGTTAACATTGCATATTTTATTGCATGTGTCTAGTGTTGCATTGCATGAAGTTAGGACACGGTTTGACTCTTAAATATGCAGTATGTAAGTTTGATACCAAGTGGTTGAACTAGGTATTGCATTCCTGAATCAAAACAAATGCAAGCGCAGGTTGCAAGATTGACAACCAACAGGAGTGTGCCCTACTATCAAGCCTAAAGGCTGATTTAAGTCATGTTCTAAATAAAAGCAAAGGCACATGATAGAAGGAATATTTTTAATATTAAGAGGAGTTTTTGTTCTAACCAATGCCTAGAACTAATATATTAGAAACGGCTTCTATTTCTCACAGATGAACAACAAAAAACTGACAATGCTCACCTCAGGTACACCTCATGTGCTTTATTCAGTGTTAAATGCTAACAATGTGAGTTTGAATGCCATTTTACATGACATATAATGCCATACTACTGAAAGCAGCAACAGATTGGTAGTTTACCATAGATCTTGAAAATAAATAAAGCGTTTAAAATTGAACTTTAGAACTGTGACAGTGCAAGCCAACACATATCAGTGATTCAGCATGTACATTTAATAATGTTAAAGAGGTTCAATATGTATTAATTCGGTTATCAAGCTTACAATTTTGCTGGAGTGCAGTAAGTGCACTATTCTGTGCCTCTGAAGGTAGTATTTAAATTTCTGTCATGTTTCGTATGGTCAAACTGCTTATCACTGCAAACCTCATCACATAGCGTATTATTAGGACACAGGAATACAATATAACCTGCTTACCTAATGTTTACGTACGTAGTATTTATATTATTTGCTAGTTAATAACCACCTCATGTGGAACTCTGAATCTGTGTCTCATTTCAGATTCTGCTACTCTCCACCGGAGGTCGCATTTCAGTCACGAGCACATGCTTTAAGAGCCTTTCTGAATAAATGAATGAATTAAATATTTGTTTTTAAACAAGGCAACCCGCAGTGCTGAATTATAATTGGCTAAACTGGCAGTGTGCAGGTTAAAGAGACCAAAACATAGATGTTCCTGCAAGTAACTCACATTTTCAAAGCAGAATAATTAACTTCAGCATTGTTTTTCAGATAAACAAGAATGTTCACTTAGCATGTTTCCTAAATATCAGAAAACATATTATGGTATTTTATGCATTAGAAGAGTCAAAAACGTACTGTACATACCTTTAACGTAATACTTTCGCACCTTTACCTTAACACTTCTCGATTTCTTAGTAAAATAAAAGTTTGCAAACTTAAGCTAAATAGATGTACAGTACTGCTGTTTAAGTGAACTCTTAATGGTAAGACTAAATGTTTTATGAATATGACCCAGAAGATGTGCATATGCATGTATATAAATGAGGCCTTTTTACTTTGTGCAGGTTAAAGAATCATCGAAGGGCGACAATTCGGCAAAGAACGCCCTGTACAGCATTCGCTTCTTGTGTGGATTCCTGTTGCCTTTCTTGGTCATCCTGTGCTGCTACGTTCTAGCTGCTATTGGGATACGCAGAGCAAGGTTTTCTGGCAAATCGAAGCCCCTGCGCATTCTCGCTGCACTCGTGGTCGCCTTTTTCCTGTGCTGGGCCCCATATCACTGCCTGCTGCTCGCCAAGATGGTGGACAAGAAAAGCCAAATAGTCAAAGTGGGCCTGCCTATTGCTAAGGGCACAGCGTATTTCAACAGTTGCGTCAACCCGCTGCTCTATTTCTGCATGGGACTCAATATTAGGCAAAACTTTAGGCAAAGCATATCAGGGATTTATCGGAGAGCGCTTATGGAAGAAGTCCCCACTGTACAGTCTCAGGAAGGCACGGGGGATGAAAGCTGTAATTCCCTTTCGAAGACTACAGTACTTAATCGAGGAAGACCCAGGGGGTTGGCTAAAGTTTAAACGAGTTATATTGTAATCTTTGTTCTTTAGCAGTGACAGTCAGTTGTATAATTGTACCGGGAAGACTGATCAAATTAATGTGAAAGATCTATGTTGTCTGACAATTAAGCATTAAGACTGTCAACCCAGGCTCATTCTGAAAATGTACCTCCTACATACATTTCTGGAGACCATGAAATACGCCCCAGGAGCTACGTTTTTTAGCAGTTTTTGTTTTCGCAACGCCTTTTGAGATCTCAAGTTTCTTTCGCCATTCGCACCTGCTGTTCTTGCGTAAACCCACCAGAGGCCACTGTTGACTGACTGACTGAAAGATCGACTGACCCACCATCCTCCTTCCCTAAACACAACCAATTTAATTGATTGATCTGTCCACCCACTTTCCCAACCAAACCAACCATTTTCAAGCAATCCAGAAAAAGAAAAGCATTCGTCTGATTTTTATCATGTTTTTAGATTGTACCACATTCTCACCCTGTTATTTACTGTTTATTTATTATTTTTTTTGGATTCTGTCTTTGTCCTACCTGCTTTCTGGAACCGTTCTTTTAGACTTGAACCCTGTCGTCGTGGTCAAGTCCTCTCTGCGTCTCAAATCTGCCAACGTACATGGCGAGCTAACAGGACAAACTGGTCACAGCGGAAGAGCTGTCCATATGGACGTAATCGGTTAGCTGGTATGCATGAAAAGGAATGGCGTCATACTGCCCCGTTGCTCATTTAAAACATGAAATGCAGCCATACGAACATGGTAACATAATTTGGCGTCTCCAGAAACGTATATAGGGCTACCTTTTCATGATAAGCCTATGTTGAAGACTATTTTGTACATTTACCTGGAACTTTTATCGTGAAAAAACATGAAATAGTTCACCCAAATTCTGTCATAATTTACTCTCCCTTAACTTGTTTATTACTTTATTTCATCCGTTAAACACAAAGGAAGATATTTTCCAAAGAAATTTGGCAAACATATATAATGTTGACTTCCATAGTATTTGTTTTTTCTTACTATGGAAGTCATTACTGGTCTTTCGGCTTTCTTCAAACTATCTCCTTTCGTTTACAACTGGTAAAAGAAGTTGTAAAGGTTAGGAAACGCTTGTAGGAGTAAAACGTGAGTACATTTGTATTTTTGGGTGAACAATCGCTTTAAAAAACATTAAATAATGAACTGGTACTGTGTATATAGAGAGTAATTTTGATGAATTTGATTTCTTTTTTCATAATTCACACATGAGGTCAAAAACAGTTTACAAAGCCTGTTTCTGTCATACTAAAATGAGCAACTGTTTAACAGAGTATTTCTTCACAGCAAACCAATAAACTGTGGTCAGGTTTCCTGAAAAAAAGTCTCTGTAGATTAATGCACTTCTTCCACTTTAGGAACCACAGACTTTTGTTCCTCTTTTCTGATAAAGACATCCTAAAACTTCTTATCTTACGCCAGTAAATAAATTTCAATAACCACTAACTTTATTTCAGCACAGTCCCTGATTTATCAGGAATCACCAGAGCTAAATGAACCAGTAACCCAGATCAAACGCTTCCCGTAAACTGTATTTAAACGGTGTTTAAGGCCCGATTTCTTTAAAAATGAACAATCTTCACTGCCTAAATGATATATGCTATAAATAATAATAAATAATAATAATAATAAATAATTTCCATTGCATTTTAAGTTTCAGACACTTAAGCGTTTTTATTTATTTAATATAGATTGGCAGTGAAGCGTGCATTTGTAGCATCAATAATTAAGAGTGCTGGTGAAAAGAATATAAAAAACACAACACAGAGAAGTAATTTGATAAAAAAAACAACAATATTATTGCGTTAGAGCTTAAATAAACCGTATAAGGCAAAAACAACATTATGTCCATATATTAATACCATAGATACATTAGATGTCGCCTACCGTGTCTATTGGAAGGAATGCGTCAATAGAGCCGCCATATTGGAACAAGGTAGCGCTCCTTTGAAATGAATGCGGGACCAAGGTGCAGTGGAGGATTGTGGCCATTCAAAGCCAGAGAAATACACATATACACATATATCTATGATCGGGAGTTTTCCTGGATGTTAGTATGCATTTTTTTTTTTAATTACGAAAATTATAATTTTACATCACTTTTCTACATTGATGGATCAGTGACCGGACGGGCATTCCTGACAAAAAGCGTGTGTTTATGTGTACAGAAATGTACTATCCACCCTCCCTGTTAAATTTGATCTAATCCGTGTCCTGAAACACACCACCTCTCCTGCTTTCACTTCTCATACTGATGGAGGAAGCAATTCGTTTGTGAATGAATCTCTGTTATGAACGACTCCTTCAATAGCTGACAATATTAGAAGTTTCTGGCAGCGCAGCATCTCGTTGTCATATATTTTTTTTTTGCATTGTTTGCTGATTTTATTAAACCAAATTCACATAAGCCGAGTATTTAGAGCGAGTTGGAGCTATTTTGCCTCATGTTGAATGCAGTAAGTGACTGTTATCATCAATAACGTGACCTGTTTAGCACAAAAGTTCGTAACATGCAAAAACGTCATAAAAAAAAAAAAATCTTACCTATGAAATGTTCTGCCTTTGTGCTTTGATTTCTTTGTTTGCTCGTTTCTACACCCATAGACAGCGCAAAAGTCCCACATCTTCACGTAATAACACTGTCTTGACTAGTGCGGTTGAATGACATTTGTCCTGGGAGCACTGTACCAATGTGGCGGCGCTATTGACGCAAGCTCAGGGTCCCTATGCTATATCTGGTGTATATATCTATGCATTAATACAGCTCTTCTGTGTCAGTTAAATCAAATGACTGTTGAAATTCAAAATTTTAAACTGGTTGAGTGGTTTATAAATAACCCAAAAAAGGTTCAAAATAACCCAACAAAGCACCAAATACTTAACACAACTGGTTGAGTTATTTATAAATAACTCAATAAAAGTTAAAAATAACCCAACAAAGCACCAAATATTTTTAACTCAACCATTGTGTTAAAGGGCCATGAAACCCCCTTGTTTCAGCAGGGTGTTTTCACACCTATACTTTGGAAAAGGTCAGAAAAGTGGGCGTGTCCAGCTCTGTTTAGGGGGGAGTGTCAGGAGGAACTAAAGTGGGATGGTGTGGGAGTGTCTATTTGGGCACGCGCGAGTTTCAGAGTCAAAATACACACACAGGAGAAAGTGATGGTGTTTACATGGACATCTGTAGTCGAATTATTTGCCAAATTATTAAATGTTGGACTTTAACTGCAGTTTGGCTCTTTGATTCAGGGAATTCATTCATGCCCCTCGAGACAAACGAGATATTTGATTCGAGGATCTGCTCTAAGCGTGTATTTTTCATGCAATGTTTGATACCGCACGGCGAATGAGAGAAAAAAACCCTCCGCATTTCCCGGAAACTTAGATGCACACGGCTGGGAGCGTCAGAAAGCTGCGTGTGTTATTCCGGTCACTAAATGCAGTGAAAAACCTACACGAGGTTAAAGTTTGGTTGTGGTGCTAACATGTTTACACTCGGTGCAATAGTTAACTTAGTTCGATACGAACAAACTGAATAAACAAAGAGCACTGGTCGCTCACTTACCAAATCTGTAGAGACAGGACAATCACCAGCAACTAGAGCCGCATCTTTATTAAGAGAAGACTACAAGCGAATCCGGATCTCAGCGTTTGCAGATGAGAACAGCTCTCAGGTAAACAATAATCCTCCTTAGACACGTAAGTTATTGTTGTCGAGCGTCGCGTACACTGTTAATCCACACGTGACTCCAGATGAGCTCTCACAGAGAGAAAATGAAAACAAAACTTAACGGCAGCAAACTGTAAAAGCAACACTTCACGCTTGTTTTGCCAACACAACGTGGCGTCTCTGTCGTGTAAATACAGTGACACTAATGAATCTTAATGAAGTTGCATAATAGAGCGCGCTGATTGGTTTGAACCAAGCCTTACTCATGCATTAATGCATCACACTGTAAGACGTAATAAGACTCACTCTGGCACAGACGCCCAGTCTGCACGCTGGAATACATGCTATTATGTCATGACAGTGACGCAGCTTCAAAAATTAGTTTCAAACCAGAAGTACGAATTTGCTTGAAATAACGCAAAAACAACCAATTTACATTTTTTAGTGAAATATAGGTGTCCTAATAGTGTTTTTAGCAGTGTGGGACACATATACGACTGTCAACAGCTCAAAAAATGTGTTTTGGTGTTTCGTGACCTTTAAATACTTAACGTTTTTTTAGAGTGTGCTAAAATGCCACTTTGTAAAACTTTTCAACATCAGAAGTTAAGCAGAGATCAAGATCCAACTCTATGAGTCAAAAGAAGAAATAAAAGAAAGTATGTGAGCAAATGTGTGTATGTAAAAGGAGAGTGCACTAATGCATGTGTACAGTATATGTGTGAGCTGAGCATTAACCTAGTATTTTCAAACGCATCTAACACTATTTTGAAGTAACATGCTAAATTAAAAATTCATCATTTTTAATATAAAAGCAGCATCTTTCTATTCAAGAAATGGTCACACTTTTTATAATAGGGTTCATTAGTTAATGTATTTACTAACATTAATTACGTGACCAATAAATTTTATTAATTACAATTTCATATCAACCTTGTTAACATTAGTTAATGCATTGTGACAACAAACTCTATTTTTATTAACTAACATCAACAAATACTGTAATGAATGTGTTGTTTATTATTTGTTCATGTTAGTAAATCCGTAATACAACCTTATTGTAATGTGTTACCCCAAAAATAATCACCATTTAGATTCATGCATAGTGTTTTTTGCATGTCTGTGCAAGTCAGCCTGTCAGTCTTCATAGTAAAATGTAACGTCAAGGAACGAGACACTAGATCAGTTGATTGGTGTTATCTTCTCTCTCTCTCTCTCTCTCTCTCTCTCTCTCTCTATCTATCTATCTATCTTTCCAGTTTACAGCAAAGAAACCTACAGTTCTCATGGTTTGCAGTTCTACTGGTGTAGATGATGAGGTTTTCAGATTATCAGTCAGATCCTCTCTGAAAGAAGCCCATGAACACTATGAATAAAGAGTCAAAATAAGGTTTTCACAGTGATGCAATACACTACCTGACAAAAGTCTTGTTGCCTATCCAAGTTTTAGGAACAACAAATAGTAACTTGACTTCTAGTTGATCATTTTGTCTCAGAAGTGGCTTATATAAAAGACAAAGGTTCCTAAATGACACTTTTTTACCGAAATTAAATATGATCATGCCTTGATTTTTAATTGTTTAATCAGCACAGAAAGGTCTGACTTTGCCTAGACAAAAGTCTTGTCACTTAACAGAAATAATGTACGGTACAGAATATAAAGTTGTGCAGTGGAAACAGAATGAATATTGTGTATGACTTCTATGAGCTCAGAGGACTGCATCCATACATCTCTGCAATAACTCAAATAATTTATTTATAAAGTCCTCTGGAAAGGCAAAGAAAGCGTTCTTGCAGGACTCCCAGAGTTCATCATGATTCTTTGGATTAATCTTCAATGCCTCCTCCTTCATCTTACCCCAGACATGCTCAATAATGTTCATGTCTGGTGACTGGGCTGGCCAATCCTGAAGCACTCTGACCTTTGCTTTCAGGAACTTTGACGTGAAGGCTGAAGTATGAGAAGGAGCGCTATCCTGCTGAAGAATTTGCCCTCTCCTGTGGTTTGTAATGTAACGGGCAGCACAAATGTCTTGATACCTCAGGCTGTTGATGGTGACATCCACTCTGCTGATATCTTGCAATAGTGTTTTCACTGAATGTAACCCCAAACCATGATTCTTCCTTCCCCAAACTTGACTGATTTATGTGGGAATCTTGGGTCCATGCGGGTTCCAGTAGGTCTTCGGCAGTATTTGTGATGATTGGGATGCAGTTCAATAGATGATTGATCAGATAAATCTACCTACTGCCACTTTTCCAAATGATCAAGTCAAATTATTACTTGTTGCTCTTACAACTGGGATCGACAACAAGACGTTTGTCAGGTAGTGCAGATAAAAGAATTACTTTTAGCACCCCAAAAGAGCTTTCCGTGAACAGAACAACATTTAAAATATGAATAAATAAATTGTGAAATAAAAGGTCTCATTCTTTTTACAGTTTCTATTTGACCATTGAGGCCAATAAAGAATCTTTATTTTTAAGAATGAAACTTTCTATTCGCCAGCAACTTCTGTTTATTCATAACATGGCAAAACCACTATAATGAGGTCAGCTAGCTTAAAAAGTTAAGCAGACCAGCAGAAATGATTCCTCATATAGTCAATGACCTTAAGGAGATGATTCATCAAAACAAATGAAAATGTCCCTCTCTTTTTGTTCACACTCAAGGTTCTAAACTTTTAGGAATTTCTTTCTTCTGTTAAACACAAAATAAGTTACTCTGAAGAATTTTGGGGAAATAAGCATCTATAAACAAAAAATGGAAGTCATTGGCGGTCCCCCACCCCCCACCAACATTCTTCAGTATATCTGCTATACATCTATACCAGAAAAAAAAAACTCAAACAGGTTTGGAACAAGTGGAGGATGACAAGGAGGATGAAGATACGATTTATCTAAAAATCCTTCTTAAAATGTATCTTTTGAGAAAGCAGTCACATAATATGGACCTTGCGTGTAGAATGTAGAAGTGAAAGTGTCTGTGAGAGTCAAGTCTGTCCGAAGAATAGCTAAAACCAGTTTAAAAGTAGGAAGTCTTAATTTCCATTCTCATTTTCTTCTGAAACTCCTATGTCTGTTTTTATCTCTGACCCTGATATGTTGACATCTAGCTGTACCAGAAGCGTGTCTTTCTGCCATTGTTTTGTGGTGTGGCAGGTTCACAGCAGTGGTTCTCAGCTGGTGGGCTG